GAAGGCTTGACGTTCCGGGGCCTGCCGCCGCACTTTCTGCCGGACCGGCCTTGCGCCCGGCCGCACGGCGAGACGGTGCTCAATCACCTCCCTGGGGACCCCGGGCATATCCGCCGGTCTCCATGCGAAGACGTCAGCGTTTGCCCGCAAGAAGGAGACGAGCGCGTCTTCCTATTTGCCGTCCAGAAGACCACCGATCCGTGTGGTCTTGGACGGGCCGTCGCCCAGGGCAACCTCCTTGACCGGGACCTCGTCGCATGTGATCATCCGCTGCCTCGGGGTGACGGGGGCGGAGGCGCCAAGCCTCTCGTCGTTACCCTCGGGCTTGGACGCAGCGGCGAGGTGGTCCGCGCGCTGCTCCAGACAAGCGAGCGCGACTTTGAGGTCGCCATGGACAGAGATGGGGCCACCGGGGCCCGGCATCTTCATCTGTAGGTAGGCGTAGTGGACCGCCGCCATGAATTTCACCAACGCGGGCCTCCCCAGGACCGCGTTGTAGGGCAGACTGAGGTCCGCCACATCGAAGTTCACCCGCTCCGTGCAGAAGTTGGCGGATCCACCGAAGGTGACCGGTAGGTCGATGTGACCTAACGGCCACGTGTGCCCCGGCGTCACACCGACAATCGGCTGGGACGGCCGGAGCACCATCCCCGGGGCCTTGATGGCGTCAAAGGCCGCAGGGGAAAGGATGTTGAGGGCCGCTCCCCCATCAATGAGGACACGCCCCAACTTCACGTTGCAAACGGTGGGAGAAACCACCATCGCAATCTGCCCTCCCCGGGCAACACACGGTGGGTGGTCGGTCTGGTCAAAGGTGAGGGCAACCTCCGACCACCGCGCCCGACGTGTCGCCTCATGAGTAGGGGCCGCGGCCAGAAGCTCTCGCTTCATGGCCTTGAAGCTCCGGCGAGAAACGTGAGCACACGCTCCCCCATCGACGGTGGCAATGGTGGCCCCAGGCTCTTGGAAACCTAGGTCATCATTGCCATCATCGATGTCCTCGGCGGGGGCCTTCTGCTTGGCCTCACTTCGCCGATTACCGGAGGGAACCGCCGGGGACCTGCCCTCACGGCGCTCCTGCCTCCTCTCCTCCTCCCACTTCCTCGTTCGTTCTGCCAAACTTTTAACTGCGCGACAGTCCACGAGGTCGTGGAGGGAGGTGTTGTGGACGGTGCACCACTTGCCGGCTGGGCGCTCCCTGCTGGGAGCGCCGGCCTTTTTCTTTTTGTCGCTCGCAGACCTCCCCTTTTGGGTGGCCCGCGAAGCGCCCTCGACGGCGAGGACATGACCCTCGTCGTCGGAATGGACTGACCTCTTCTTCCTCCTCCTGTCACGCCGCCCTGTCTGAGCGGCGGATCCGGGGGCGGCCGAAGCTGCCACACCGGAACCGGAGGGGTTCCAAGTCCAGGCCTCCTCCTTGCGAGCCACTCGGTCCGCGAGCTGAAAAAGCTCCGCGGTAGTCTGGGGCTCCTTGGAGGCGATCTTTTCGAGCATGCGGTTGTGCCGCACGCCCCCCCTGAACGCGTAGATTACCGCGTGTGCAGGGATGCATGGTATGGTGTTGCGGACTTGACAGAACCGCTGAATGTACGAGCGAAGTGACTCATCATCCCTTCGCTGTACCGCGTGTAAGTCCGCTTCTTCACCTGGGCGCGGATATGTGCCCTGAAAGTTCATGGTGAACTGTTGGCACAAATCCTCCCAGGAGTGGACTGACGCGGGTGGCAAGTTCATTAGCCAACCCCGCGCCTGCCCCTTCAGGGCCATGGGAAAGAAGTTCGCCATGACCCTGTCATCACCCCCGGCGGCCTCAATCCCGGTCGTGTAGACCTGGAGAAACTCGGCGGGGTTGACGCTGCCATCATATTTTTCGGCGATGGTGGGCCGGAACCTTGGGGGCCAACGGACATTCCGAAGACTCGCCACAAAGGCTCTACAGCCGACACCACCAACCGGGGGCACGGAGGGCTGATTCCCGCGTCCGTGTTGAGGTGACACTCTGGACGAGGAAGCGCCCTCCGTTGCGTGGGCAGCACGTCGGTCATTACGCCGGCGCTCGATGCTGGGGCGGGCGTCCGGCCCCCCACGCAGATCTTCCCGGGTCGAAGGAGTCGACGAAGGAGTGGCGGCCGAATGGCGAACAGCGGCTGCCGCTCGTCGTGCCCTCCGTCTTGACGACGCGGAGCCGGTGGTGGCAGCACCAGAGGCCTTGGTGGCGGAGGACCGCCCACCAGCATCTAGGCGCTGCCGTGCCGTCATGACTAATTTGGCCACGTCGTCCAGCCATCGTTGGGCTGGAGATTCCGGGTCAGGGACTACAGGCGGGTGATGTAAGAGCGCGCCCGCAGCTTGGAGCGCGCCCTGGGGCGTGCTGCCGTCGCCGTAGACGAGGAGGCGACGCTCCCCATCTCGCCGTTCTTCTCCATCGCCCGCGATCGGTGAAGTCGCGGATCTTTCGACTCTCTTGAGCGCCTCCCCCCGCTTAGGACTTTGGCGTGGAGGGGGCGGTGGAGTACGAGCTCGACGGCGTGGGTTCGGCTCCCCGTCGTCGCCACTCACACGCGGAGAGAGGTCGTGCGCCTTTGCTTGCTCGGCCATCAAGCTGAACAGAAAAAGCTTGGCGCACACGGAAGAGTACGAGAGCTCAGAAAACACTCGCAGAGTCCCCTACCTGGCGCGCCAGATGACGGAGCGTGTGGCTCCTCACCGGGAGACCGCGCAGGCCCCCCTTTGCCGGTTCGGCCGGGGACTCAGGGCGAAATTCTAAGCTCTCTGTATGTGGAAGGTTCGCGACCGTGGAAAGAGCATAAGACACGGGCGATGTATACAGGTTCGGGCCGCTGAGAAGCGTAATACCCTACTCCTGTGTTTTTGGGGGATCTGTGTATGAAGGAGCTACAAAGTATGAGCCAGCCTCTCCCTTGTTCTGGGTTCCGAATCTTGAAAAAATCCAGTCCCCTTTCTAAGTGGGCAAGGTCCTCCTTTTATATTTTAAGGGGATACCACATGCCCCCTCTCTCTCTTTTGTGTGGGGACTTATCCTCCCTCTTTCCAAACTAGACTTGCCTTCTCTTCATAAATGGACGGAGATTGTATGGTTGCCGTTTGAATGACTTTTTGATGGGACGGCCCATACCTACCTCCACTTCTGCCGGAGACAGGCGCGACGTGGGGGCATGGCCGTCTGCTGACGACATGACCATTGTCAGACCGGTCACAAATCGGTCATTCTTGTCCACCACGTGTCAGTTTAACAATCTGCATGTTCCCCCTTCTTCATATAACATCTTGCCTGTAATGGTTAGGATGAAAACTGGCATACATCTGACCGGAACTAACGTGCCATCTCTGGGAGGTAACACGCTAGCTCCAGCTGGGGACGAGCGCCTAGAAGCCCTCGTCCTGACGGGATGGGGCGAGACGTGCGTCAGATCGCCTGTCGCCACCTAACCCGCGATCTGACCGGTCTGTGACTAGTCACAGACCGGATAAATGAGTGCACTGCACTGCGTTACATGCGGCGTGACACGCTCAGCCAAACCGCAATAAATGTGGTTAGGTGAGCCCCGCTGTGCTCACCTAACCCATACACGCGGAGCAAAAACCCACGAGGGGTCGGGGCGCCTCGGCCCTCGGGGCCGAGGCGGGTGCGGTCCGACCCCCTCGGGGGGACTAAGAGGAGGGCGAACACATCACCCTCGGGCCCGACGTCCCCCGAAGGTGCCAGGCCACGTGTGCGATTGTGTCTGCCTCAAACCTCATGATACTCCCGATCCCATGTCACCGACACGTATTTTAATGTATCACTCCGTATTAAATTTTAATGTATAACATTGTCCCTCCGTATTTTAATGTATCACTCCGTATTAAATTTTAATATATAACATCGTTGACTTCCGTATTTTAATGTATAACGTCGTTGACTTCTGTATTTTGATTAACGTTTGACCATTCATCTTATTTAAAAATTTTATGTAATTATCATTTATTTTATTATGACTTAATTTGTCATCAAATATTCTTTAAACATAACATAAATATTACAATTTTATGTAATTATTATTTATTTTATTATGACTTAATTTGTCATCGAATATTCTTTAAACATAACATAAATATTTTCATATTTTAAAAATATTTAAATAAGATAAATAGTCATCTACAGCGTACGGAGGGAGTAATAATTTCGAAGCTTCAATTTGATTTGTAGGGCTTTACCCTCTCCGAAGAGAAGGAACCCTTCCAGAAATTCTCAGTGGCCCGGAAGGGCCAAAGAGGGGGTTTGGAAATAGTTTTCAACCAGCAATTGACGCGCCTCGGTATTACCTCACTAGCTGCGTCATTGCCCCAAGCGCAAAGATGCCTTCTCCCGTTCGCCCACCTCCCCTCTTTATACCCGCGCCCCTCCTGCACAGCTCGCTAGACAACCGAGGTGGTACTAAACCAAGCAGAACACGCGGAGATCGAAAAGACCAATCAAGCACGAGGCCAACCGCCATTCGCACGGGCCGATTTGTGGGCCGTACGGGCCGCCTCGTTCGGCCCAATATAAAAGGCAAAAGGTAAGCAACAAATCCGTTCAGGCCCAATCTCAGGCTCTGTTCAGCTGATGCGGTAAAAAAAACTCACTTTTCGAATTTTTAAACGGTCTATTTTTTCTGAAAATATTTTATACGATAGTTGATTTAAAAAATTATATTAATCTATTTTAAAATTTTAAATACTTAATTAACAATACACTAATAGCTATATACTATCTCGTTTTTTTTCCGAAGTGATGACAAAATTCCTCCGGTCTTCTCTGCTCGCACCGCTCCGCACGCCAACGCAGTTAAATCTGAAAAGGATTTGCAGGTTGAAATGGCAGCTATTACGTATAATGCAGGTTTGGACAACTTCCCCATCATCAGTTTTCCATTATCAGATTTCTTCTCACTTGTATAATGATTCGTTTACAGAGAGCATCTTGCGTGCTTCAAGTTTCACCCCAACCATAATTCTTCGGAACAAGTTAATAATTTACTGCACATCTGAACAATGTTCCATGGTTCTTGAACATTACCGCAATATAGACATATCACATTAGATGTGAAAAAAAATTATAGCATTCCAAGAGATGCCTACCATAAACAGCAAGCAAACAGCAGTAACATAAATATAATGACGATAACCTGCTAGAGGAGATCTATTCTCGGCATTTTAATTTGGACAGGAAGAGCTGAGCATCACTTGCCATAGATATACTAATATTATTTACTAATCCATCTCACTAGCCATAGATAGATTACTGACATTATTGAGTAATAATTAATCCATCTGCACATAATAGATCAGTAGCCTTCTGCCTCACTTCACAGCCTTGCCATTGGAAGCGACTTTGTCTTCAACCTTGGGGTTGGGAGGCGGCCCATCGAAAAACTTGGATGCTCTCTCTTCTTCCATCTTTGCGTCCTCCACATCTTTCTTGCTGAGGAAACTTGGCTGGTTGGTTGAGGAGAGAAGTCTTGCCCACATCCTATCAGTAATTGAAACTTTGTTCTGCTTCTCTGTGATCCTCTGAAAATTTTAGTGATAAGACAGTAATCAGTATGGAGAGCAGTGGAGCAGAGTTTTTTTTTTTTTGTATTAACAGAAAGTTTAACTGCCCTATAGCGAATGACTTACGTAAAACGGGATATAGCAATGCCGACCATTTACTTGGCCAACAGTGAAACCAGTGTATCCAGCCATGGCTCCATGAACCACACTGTGTGCCAACAGTGTGCAATACACATTGTCAGATGCATTGCTAGGAATGGCACGTATCATGTATGTAGGATCTGCAATAGAAGCATAAGATCTGAGATTTTGTTACAGTGAAATCAAGCAAAGCTTGGGATGCTAAAAGTAGAATAAAAGAGGCGACTGACCTATATACTTGAGATTTATAGTAGTCTTGATTTTCTTGAAATGCTCCTGAATTTACAAATAGAACATTGATAACAAAATAACTTTAATTTGGCAAGCTTTAGACAAGAGAGAAATACAGAGGCATATAGCAAATGTTGTAAGAAAATAAGTTTAATTTGGTCATTGATAACAAAATAACGAAATGAACCAAGTATACTAAGTATAAGAAAAGCTACTTCACTAGTAATTCAAGTCAGTAACCAGTCCAATAAATAGACAGTAGAGTAGAGATTGATGGGAGATGTAAAACAATGTTCAAGAGTCTTACTTTTATCTTTTGAGATAACCAAAGACCAACATCAAGAAGAATCGAATTGCCTGAAGCATCTTTCCCCATTGATTCCTTTGTTTCATTAATAAGTTTCTGCCCTGCACCCTCCGCAACAACGATAACCATATGACCATTCTCCTTCAGACGCTTTTCCAAATATCTAAAAAGGCCACCTTCACCTTCCAGATAGAAAGGTGACTCTGGAATCAAGCAACAATCCTGACAAAATATAAAAAAAGTTTCTCACCTCAATTGGAGAAAATTAAACCCCTTTTTTTTTAGTAAAATCACAGAAATGATATATATAAATGTTTTCAGCTTGACAGAGATGTGAACATACCACGTCTCTGCTGGCTAGAGTAGCATAGTGTGCAATAAAACCTGCATCAGTGAAACACAGCAAAGTTATAAATGTAGTATCGTATTGCACAAAGGAATAGATATGTGGACAAAGTTTCACTCTCGCTCTAGATTCTGGAAATTACTACAGAACATATGTGTGCGCAGCTTATCTAGTTCATGATTACATTATCTCAGTGTACTACATCCAGAAACATGGAATTGAGCCAAGTATAGCCCAAGATGTGGAACTCGCAAAATCCAATAAGCTCGCACATGTCATATTTACTACTTGCAAGTAGCCATAGCAGAATAATACATGCATCCCTATTCTCGCATATAAATTCAAAAAGATTGTTAGGCAAATGCTTTACTGGAATTCCATTGTAATAACAGAAATAGATATAAGAGTTGCATAGACTCACCAAAATTTCTTAGAAAGGTCTTTTCAGAATAAAGATATTAGCATAGAAACTATTGTGCTGAATTGACCTAAGTATATGATGGGCTAATAATGTTTCATTCCAGCACGACATATCACTGTGGCCAAGAAACATACCACTGTGTCGACCCATTAGCTTTACGAGGCCTATACCATTCTCGGCGCTTCCAGCTTCTACATGAGCAGCATTTATTGCACGTTGGGCCTCCTCAACTGCAGTGTCGAAACCAAATGATCTGTCAATTACCTGCACATAGGGTAGAAACAAATTATGCATATACACCATAATTCATACCCTAATGTCAATATAATGTGAAAAAGATCATTACTGGTATATCATTATCAATCGTCTTTGGAATGCCAGCAACAGCAACCTTGAGACCACGTCTTCTAATCTCCTGTAAAAAGAGTCCAATCATAGTCACATTTACAAACATGTTACTAAAAAAAAGGGGGAATACAGTTGATCGACTTTCAATTATTATACCATTTGGTTAAGAGGATGAGTTCTAAAGGATATACTGCGTCCATTTTATTTATAATGAAATACCCTACCAACCCTTGGGAGTAAAAACTATAATTTGATCATGTTGAACACTTCGAGATGATATATAATCATGCTTACTTCAAAAATCACTCCTGCACCCCTTTGAGTACCATCACCACCAATTACATAAACCTGGACAATGCACAAACTTGTAACCAACGCTGAATGTAAGATGTTTCAGTTAGGTAGAAGAATCTTCATACTATCTGTAAATTGATTCATAAAACAGTGTCTGAAAAGTAATAAAATGGCATCCATTTCCTTTACCTGATTTATACCACGATCCTGGATGCTGTCAACAATCTTCATGGTGTCATGGCCTCCACGTGATGTCCCAAGAACAGTTCCACCCCTTTTGTGAATGTCGTTTACACTCTTTGGACTCAAGTCAATGGTGTTACAAGCATAGAAACCTCTATACCCACCCTGTGAAAAACACAGAAAACAAAATTAGAGGAAGACAGTGCTCCAATATTACATTTTAATTTTCTTAGCTTTTGTAATGTCATTGATCCTTTTTCCATATGACCCTTAATCACACATATAAAAAAACATTGCAGCACACCAGCAATTTTAAAGTTGAAGAATTCGTTTTGGCAGTATTCAGGATGTTATATTGAGTATAGAGATTTGTGCAAAACAAATTGCCCATTGTTCATACATTCTCTTCAATAAGAATTCATTGCCAAATGCAAATGCAAATACGGGTGTGATGCACCTCCCTGAATTGGTTGATGCGACTGGAAAAATATAAAGAAGTCCAAAATGGCATGAATGATACTTCAGGAATAAAGTAATTTTCAGAACTAGAAGGAAATATGATCGCCTGCATACTGTATATGGACTTTGTGATGCAGTGCAATGACTTGCCTGAATTCCAAGTACCCTACTGACACCATACATGTCATATAAGCCACATACAATTTCCCTAATGACAGTGTTCAGTCCAGGGCACAGTCCTCCACATGTGACAATGCATGCATGGACCTCATCCGATTCAAAAAACACCTGACCAGGAATAATATGAAGTGAGAAAAAAAGAATAGTTTTTTTCCAACTTATTTGTGTTAGTATATGAATACAATGTTATATACCCTCTGTCGAGGCCCAGCACGACGGAAGTGGTTGCCTCTAGGGCCATCCTTGTGAACAATGGCCTGCATTGAACAATCATAATCATTGGATCAAAATGAATAATTTGCATAACTACAAGCATTGACTCAAAGGAATGGAACATGAGCTCGCTGCAAATTTATCAAGAATTCACCTTCTGGCAGACAGTGTCATCTGGGTTTACAAAGTATTGCCTGCAAACGGGATATTTCGAGTCAAATTAACACACACATGAGAAACGCCGAAAAGGAGAAATGGATTGAAAAAATCAACTTGGCAGGTTCAGTCTTACTTCACAACCGAGTATGCCGGGTTATCTTGCAGTGGATTTGAGTATGTCTGCATCAAACAACAGACAATGGCCATCATAATCACAGCGAAATAGAATCGAAGACTCAACATTTATCACAAGGCCAATGTGACTAATCATCACGTATCACCTACAACTACCTCATCAAATTAAAAGCACACAGAAATAAAACAAATTTAACGGAGTTCAACTGCCCTCTCTAAAAAGGAGAGGCTTTTCCAAAGCCATCACTATTCCAATCCCCAAAAGTGCCCACGGCCGTATATCCGTACGCACAAACATAACTGACGAACAAATTGGTTTACTTTCGAATAAACAAATAACAAAAGTTAACCGCAACTTTGGATTGGACAGAATCCTAATCGGATCGCACATTCCCACACATTCGCGCATGCGCACACGAACCATGGATCTAGCGCCGCGGCAATCCCTCCCTTCCCCTCCCCTCCCAACCCCAATCCCCAGATCGATCCAACGCAGAGGAGGAGACGGCCGGCAAGCGGCGGAGACTCACCGGTAGATCGGGGAGGTAGTCGCACACATGCGGCACGTCCTCGAGCACGTACCCGCCATCCCCGGTCACCAGCTTCACCTCGGGCTTCGCCGCCGCCGCCGCCCCCGCGTCACCCGCCGCCTCCCCACGCTGCCGCTGCATCGTCGTCCCCTCCACGTGCACGACCCGCGGCGTGTCACGTCGGTCGAGGAGGTGGTGCAGGTGGTCCCTCGGGCTCGGCACGTCGATCGGCCCCGGCGCGCTCCGCCTGCCGGATTCCGCGGCCTCACTGGCGGAGGCGGAGGCGGTTGGAGGCGACGCCATGGGGGCCTCGGTGTGCGGGCGCCATCTCGGATCGGGTTCGTTTCGGTTTTTCTTTCGCTGCGAGTGGGGCGGCAGCGGCGACGGATGGATGGCGACGGTGGCGCGTGACGACGACGACGAGGAGGGTGACGGTGACGGCGACGGCGGAGGGGAGGAGAGCGAACGGATGGACGAATGGTGACGACGACGCGGGGGTGGTGGTGGTGGAGGGAGGAGGAGAAGAGGAGATGGGGGGACGGAGGAAACGGAGGAAGCGGAGGTATTGGAGGATCGTCCGCCACTTGTGGTGGGAGTGGGCCCCACGCTGCCACTTGGGCTTTCTATGCTTTGAGATTCGTGCTCGATGCCTTTGGCCTGAGACCCTTCGCATTGCTCCTACGTGGCGTTTGCCTTCATCAGTCCACGTAGGACAGCTGATTGGCGTGTAGGAGAAAAGAGGTGGAGCCCGCATCTTTGGAAGAAAACTCGCGTCCAACTGGAGTCCTCGGTTTCTCAGATCTACGAGTGGGGACCACTGGCAAAATGGACTGTACACACCAAACCGTGCTACTCTTTCCGTCGCATAATATAAAAGATTTTAAAGGGATGCAACACTGCATTGTCCAAAACTGGACATAGAGAGTATATCGGAGAGATGCGACAGGTTTTTTTTATCTAAATTTGTAATACTAATATATATTAGATCATTTCAAAATCACTTATATTATGTGACAAATAAAATACTATATCGGAGAGGGAAGGTGCAGCCCCTCTGATGTGGGGGCTGAAATGCAAAAGAAATTTTAGGTCCCACCATAGATAACCTACATTGTGAATAGTGTCTTTGGAGTGTTTTATCCTACGTGTCACCTTTAGGTTTTTTCTAGTCAGGTCTTGCACTGCTCTTGGCCAGTTGCCCTGATCACAGCTCACAAGTGGGCTGGATCGAGGCTGCCACATGGGCCGTTATGCTTTGAGAATCGTGCTGTCTTCCGACCTACTCCCTACGTCAAAAAAAAAACAAATCATGAGTTTCCGTGTCCAACATTTAACTGTCCGTCTTATATGAAATTTTTTTATAATTAGTATTTTCATTGTTGTTAGATGATAAAACGTGATTAATACTTTATGCGTGACTTATCTTTTTAATTTTTTTATAATTTTTCAAATAAAACGGACGGTCAAACGTTGGACATGGATTGGTACGGAGCGAGTACGTGGACGGACGGAGCAGTGCCACAAGTGGGCTTGGGCCAAGGCTGCCACTTTGGGCCTTTATGCTTTGAGATGCGTGCTCGATGCCATCATCCCACGTGGACGATGTAGGTGGCACCATATGTCCATATGCTGCTCTACTGTAGTACCCCGAATTCCCCAACTCGAAGACCAGTTTTTTTTTTTCTTGTTCATCGGATTCCTTTGCGTTTGCAGGGGAGGGAGAAGGGAGAATCGGCCATGGCCGTAGTAGAGGCGGCCGGAGGAAGGCGCGGGGTGGCGGCGGGGGAGCGGAGGAAGGCGAAGGCGAAGGAGGCGGCGGTGGGCGCCATGGCGAGGGCTCTGTTCTACCCGACGCTGCTGTACAACGTGGTGCGGAGCAAGGTCCAGGCCGAGTTCCGGTGGTGGGACGAGGTCGATCAGGTGAGCTGTAGTTGTTGTCGGCAACTGCCCGCGATGCTGCTTAGTTCTTCCTGTCCAACGCGTATCAACTGATTCTCATGATTACGAACATACTAGCATTGTTGGCTTGTTGCGAGTTGGAGTTGTTCTTGCCCAGTTTACCCCAGATGTAACTATATGTATGCGAATGTTGCAGGGACCTGAGTAGCACTCCAAGGTCCTGAATTCAAATCTCTAGGAACGAATTTTAGATTGGGTTATTTGAGGGCTAAGTTTCCTATTCGATAGGCTAAGTTCCTAATTTAAAAAGGCTGCATATATCCAATTGGACATAGAGTTACGGTGAATGTAGAGTTATGGTGTTGATACCTCGCAAGAAAGAAGTTGTTGCTCTTCTTAGCAGACATTTCAGTGTGTTATATATCTGCCTCCTAACTGATGACTATAAGGATTGAGAAGTATCAGTCTAATATTTGTCAATATTGTCCTCTTTCCAGTTCATTTTGCTTGGAGCTGTTCCATTCCGTAGGGATGTTCCTCGGTTGCAGAAGCTTGGGGTGTATGGTGTCATAACCCTGAATGAACCATTTGAGACTTTGGTGCCATCGTCGATGTATCAGGCAAGCTGTTAACAAGATTTTTATTTTTCTCTCTTTTGTGTAAGAAGATTAATGCCATCTCTGAAAGTTCAGACTTTAGCACTAAAATGTTTCATGAAAACTTCTGGTGACAGAGTCTGATGAAAGGTTGTTGGCTTACTGCAAATTCAGTTATGTTCAATTGGAAGTTTCTTATGACACGGAATGCTCCTCTGCTGAAATTTTCAGTCTCGTGGGATTGATCACCTTGTTATTCCTACAAGAGATTATATGTTTGCTCCCTCACTTGTGGATATTAGTCGAGCTGTTGATTTCATACATAGTAAGTGAGCAATAGATTAGCCCAATGTGAAACTTTTAACTAGCCATTTAATTAGTTGATCATCCTAGAATTAGTGGATGACTTGTTGACCATTCAGGTTTTCTATTGTCAACCTCTTTTTTAAATTTAAATATGACATCTCTGAATATTTCTTATTAGGAAATGCATCTTGTGGGAGGATGACATACATCCATTGCAAAGCTGGAAGGGGCAGGAGTACAACTATTGTCTTGTGTTATCTGGTAGTCCTAATTACCCATCTTTTGGTGATTGAACTGAGAAGTTCAGATCCATAATGAGAATAAAGTCATCACATACTACTTATTTGGAAATAATTTCACATTGATGTTTTAGTGTAATCCATGCATTTTGTTAAATGATCCATTTCACCAGGTGAAATACAAGAATATGACGCCTTCTACAGCTTTTGAGCATGTGCGGTCTAAAAGGGCTCGAGTGTTGCTGACTCGTTCTCAATGGAGGGTACTAAAAGGATATCCTAACTCACCTTTTCCATATCTTAAATTTTCAATGCACTGCATTAACGAGATTTATTTTTGTTGAATGGGTGAGAGGTCCATTGCACTAACAAATATGCTGTATCTCACTTTCCGATTGTTTCTTCATAAGATTTGATAAGTTACATGCATTATCTCCTCACGCCGTATATTTTTAGTGGACATTGCCAAGAAAGTGATTAGTGGCATACTGTAAACTAACTGAGAGAGCATATATCGCATTCTTATTTAGCATCTTTTTCTGTCATTTGGGATGACATGCAGGCACCTTCATCTAGGAAATAAAGCTTGCATAAAGTATATAGAGTACAAATATTGTTGTTGTTACTCTTACTGTCCTACAACTTGAATCTTGAATTAGGACCTTAACTACGAGCTAGTTTTATATTTTATTATCATGTAAACATGACAATCATATTTGCGGAGCAATGCTGCTATCTGCAAGCTGCTTGGATTATGACATTTAGCTACTTTTGCTCTGGCGTTGCACCAAATTTTATTGTGGACCAAATGGATTCTCCATGGGCCCAAATCTAGCCTGTTCCTTAGCAAAAGAGTAAAGATGATTTATGCTGTCATGTGGGAAACCCCCTATCAGTGCCAACATGGGGCCATGAACACTACAGCCATCGCACAAGCCAGGCCAGTGCTGCCTGAGGGCTGGTTGTCTTCCCTGTGCATTGCCATTCAGTTAGGACTTTGTGAGTTGGACATACATTAAATTATAAGAGATTGGTTGAGTGTAAAGTGTACTTCAGTTTAAAAGGTGTTGGATTCTTTATCTTCCTCGATCTGTTAAGAGAGAGCAGGGGGTTATCTCTATCTTCCCTTCTCTCGTGTATGGCTGAGCTCACAGCTCTACTGATGATACTCTGTGCTTATGATTGCCTTAATTAGGTGCCACTGCCAAAACACAGGGGGTCCCGGATATCTATTTGGTGTATCTCTCATTCCCTTATGGCACATGGCATGTGCATTATTATTTACTCTCCAGCAATGTGTTACTGAGAACTTCACAAAATTGTAGTTCCTGGAATGACAATTTCTTTCTCTGGTTTATACTTTAGTGTTGTCCTCTTGGAATAAATCAGCTTACATTCTTGGTGGCTTTGATCCTTGTAGGTGGTTCAAGATTTCAGCAAGAAGAATGCAGAAGCAGAACTTCCCACAGTCACAAGCCACTCAGCAGCAGCATCTCCAGCAGGGAATGTGGTATCGGTAACAGAAGCAGATTTGGAGAGCTCTGAAGTAACAGCAGCTAATATTCCTGATATTACAGAGCATGCCAGCTTGTCTTCTCACAAGACTACCCCAACCAAGCCAATGACAAATATGCTCTCATGTTTGATTCCATCTCTGAAGTGACTCCTCTCTAGCTGAGCATCAATAATCCAAGACTCTGAGGCATATGCATGTACCTCAACACCGGTTTAGCCGAAATGGTGTCTCGCAGGGGAAGGAATTCAGTTGCGTTGCCATCGTTCTAAATGTATATAGCTGCCCATATTCATCCTATTTGTTATGTATGTATGTGCCTATTATCAATTCAAGATTGTTTGTTCCTTGCTTCAAGATTTGCTAGGGTAAATTTCAAAAATCAGGGCATGAGTTTTTTTAAGCAGAATGTTTCAAAAATTTGAGCCAAAATAGCTGCAGGCCAGTTGACATTATGTTGAATTAGTACTGTACAAATGCATTGCAAATACATAGTCGAATTTGCATTCCTGATTGCCAGTTGAAACGATATGGAGCTAAGTAGCTAACAACTTTAATTTAGCATACAAATTTTCTTCTCAGGAGATGGCAATCCCGATTGAACTGCAAAATCGGTACTTCAATTCTGCAAGTTTCACTTGTCATTCCAGTTACCTAAATTCAGATCACCCTGATGGGATCTGAAGATAAAAGAAACCAATTGTACACAAAAGAGCAGATCTGGTTAGTACTTGTAACGAAACCACCAAAAGCAAGTTCTCGAAAAGAAAAGAATAACACCATAAGAAAAAAAAACAAAATAAAGAAGAATAAGAAGAAAAGAGATGCTCTTTTTTCACGATAGCCACCTCTCTGGGAGTGGGACACCAATACACCATGTTCTCAGTTCTTCCATTCAATTATTTAATCTTATAATACGCAATGCTTTTATATTATTATGATATGATAAGATCCTTCTATTTGTAAAATATTTAGGATACAAAAGTTTCTCTTCATATAATTTCACCAGTAATTGTAAAGTAACAACAAATATCTTTGCTATATCAAATGCACACGGTTCATGGACCCACCTCTTTAGTTAACATGTTGTTCGTGGTTACCGCCACTTTTAACCGAAACGCATATCACTACATATCCAATATAGATGGTATTATTGTGTTGCTTTTTAAAACTAAAAATATTATAATTCGTATTTATTGAACTTGAATGAAACCCACACTACCAATAACTATACTAAATCTTGCTATATTCACACCGGTAACCGCTAGCTACCTTGTGAAAAACAGCCCCCCTCTACGAACAAGTCAACACAAAGTAAAAAAAAAAATAAATCTACTAACCACGCTTTGAATCCATCCATGCAAAAAAGTATTCCCACCGTCCCAAATTAGAGGGCGTCCTCTTTTTAATAAAAATCAAACTCAGTAACTTTTGACTAACAATCATACTAATCATATCTATGCTAAGTATTACGCATGTTATATTATTAGATTCATATTCTAAAGTACTTTAACGTGATGATAATTTCATATTCGTTAGAACCAACATTAAATAAATTAATAGTCAAAATATGTCACTAAAGACCATGTAAAAAAAGTATAAACCTCGTAATTTGGGATGGAGGGAGTATAATGTTTCGCTATACTCACATTGCTATCAAATAGTTATTACTTCCTCCGTTTTATACTCCCTCCGTTTTTTAATAGATGACGCCGTTGACTTTTTCTCACATGTTTGACCATTCGTCTTATTCAAAAAAATTACGTAATTATAATTTATTTTGTTATGAGTTGTTTTATCACTCATAGTACTTTAAGTGTGATTTATATCTTATACATTTGCATAAAATTTTTGAATAAGACGAATGGTCAAACATGTGAGAAAAAGTCAACGGCGTCATCTATTAAAAAACGGAGGTAGTATTATAAGACTTTTTAACATTGCCCACATTCATATATATGTTAATAAATCTCATTAACATCTATATGAATGTGAGCATCTGAAACGGAGGTAGTACTCCACAAAATAAATTCCTTATATTTTTTCCACTATTAAAAACATAATAAATAAATAAAAATATACTGAAAATAAAAAAAAGGAAAAAAAAAGTAGGGTTCCACCTCACCCTCACCCGTAGTCGCCCACACGCAAACGATATATTCCCCCTCTCCCCCCCTTCCTCCAGCCGTCAAAGACAACGCGTGCGATCCAAGCAGACCGAGTCGACGAAGCAGCGAAGCAAAGCAGCAGCAGCAGCGAGCGAGCGCGCGCGGCCGCCGCCGGTGAGGCGAAGATGTCGTGGCAGGCGTACGTCGACGACCACCTGATGTGCGAGATTGACGGCAACCACCTCACCGCCGCCGCCATCGTCGGCCACGACGGCAGCGTCTGGGCGCAGTCCCCCAACTTCCCGCAGGTAATCCCATCTCCTCTCCTCTCCCCGTCTCGTTTCCATCTGCTACTTGTTTCGTTCGTGGGCGTGGGCGTGGTGTTAGATCTGCCCACGCGCGGATCTAAAGGCCCGCGATCCCGATCGGGCGCGGGCTGGGATCCGGATCTTGGCTGATGATGATCTAGGTGTGGATCTTGTACGCTTATGGTGTTGTTTCCGCCGCGCTTTCGCTTGATAGGAAGGGATCTTTGTAGGAGGGGAATATTTCTGCTGTGGATAGGAGATGTGTTTTTGAGTTTGAGTTGAACCAATGGTGGAATCGCCGGTTGAAATAGCAAGATCAAATTCATTGCCATGCTACTGTTATCTGTTGTGGGAGGTGTATACTAGCGATTGCTATCTGTTGTGGGAGGGAAATACTAGCTGTGAATAGGAGATACGTTTTGATTTTGAGTTGAATTAATGGTGGAATCGCCGGTGGGAACAGTAAGATCGAGTTCATTGGTGGGAGGGAAACTGGGAAACACCGAGGCGTTTTGAATTTGGGTTGAATTAATGGTGGAATCGCCGGTGGAAATAGCAAGATCGAGTTCATTGGCACGCAGATGTTATACCGTTCTGGTGAGGATTTAGTCTTCGATTCTAGAGAATTTCTTTAGTCCAGGGAATTCGAAGTCATACTACTAGCTGCATAGGAACTTATCATTTGTTATATGTGAATACCATGAAAACAATATCATTGATGGAATAGCTGCTTAAGGTTAGCTAAAGCATATTGGATATGTTTGTGTGGATCGTGGTGCTTAGAATGCTACACTATTTGGAATATTTCTTTGAGGGTGACATACTTCTCTGATGTACTAAGTGCGTATTTTATGTAATCATGTAGCTGTCTTGTGAAGTGCCTTTTTATATCGCATAGCTTTGTCCCCATCCTTTTGACCATTTGTAGCAGATCCAACATTACCGTAGATCTTACTTGACAGGCATATTATATGATTTTGTGGTGACGATAATAGCTATCTTGTTGCAATAGCGAGTGACTGAATTTACAACAGAGGTCTAATGTAGCGTGTCTTTGAATTCCATTAGAAGAATTTTTCACTTGAAAATTCTGTATAGATACTCCTATTCTGCCTTCTAAATTTTTCTTGTTTTCTGCATCTGGCGCTTTGTTGCAGTACAAGCCTGAGGAGATTACTGGCATCATGAAGGACTTTGATGAACCCGGCAGTCTCGCACCAACTGGTCTTTTCCTTGGGGGCACAAAATACATGGTGATCCAAGGTGAACCAGGGGTTGTCATCCGAGGAAAGAAGGTAAAGTTTTGTTTTTCAAATGAAACGTGTGTGATATCAGCAATGTTTTATGACTGTACTAGTTTTGACAGATTAACTGAATTCTTTATGTGTTTCTTTTTATGGCTCATATGAAGTTATGAACATGGTAAATGATATCGTTCCTATTTTAATCCTTAGGGAAGGTGTTATACCATGTTACCTCATTTATGAAAGCATGTTGCATCTAATTAAATGTTAAATAACGAAACGACTGCTGGTTTATTCCTTAGTAGAGGAGTTATACTTGTATGCTAGGTTACCTCATTAATGAAAGCTTCTGATGAATACCTTGCTTTAGGGTGTCATTACTCATGGTCTGGTATACGTAGTCTGGAATCTAGAAGTTGACTTTATACAACTGCTAGGCAGGATTAATAGTCCTTGGCATGTATAGTCCTTATATTCATGTTGCTCAAAAAAATTCATTATGAAGTTGCAATAAAAGTTCTGCTTTCACTAGCACCATGTTGATTGCATCTTTGATTTGATGAGCAGTGGAGGTTGGATTATTTTTTTCCCTGTCTTTTCTCTAGCTGTCAATAACTCACAGGCTGCAGTCGTTAACTAGTCGAATAGACATTGAATGTTTAACGGAGAGTACCATTTATTAGTGGTTAAACTACTAGATTATTGCTGGTAAATATCTGTGGCAATTTCATACTATTTTGTTTGGGTATCCCTGCTCTGAATACTGTTTAACTAATGCAGAATGCATTTGTCGCAAGTTGCATGATTTTGTATGAAATTCCTATAACACTACAGAAACCTGTGGAATGCTTTTCAATTTGTTTCTCTGTTTATTTTCCATTTTTTAAAAAAAAAAATTTGGTCTATAACTCCCATCTGCATGTTTCTTACAGGGCACTGGAGGCATATGTGTCAAGAAGACTGGCCTGTCGTTGATTCTTGGAATCTATGATGAGCCGATGACCCCAGGCCAGTGCAACATGATTGTGGAGAGGCTTGGCGATTATCTGATCGAGCAGGGTTGCTAAGTCCTCAATATGCTATTTTGGTCATTTGGGACTAAGTTTACTCCCTATTTGGTTCAGTAATGTGAGCTTGCATCTGCTTGCGTATCACATGATATGGAGTGAATAATTTAGCTCCGGTTTGTTGGTTGGTGAACGTGTTGAAAAATATTTACCTGTGGTTTATGTTTGGCATCGTGTCGTATCAAACTCAGCTGTCCATTCACTGAGTTCTGTACATTTACCTGGTCATGGTACCTGTGGGTTCTGCTTTATGAAGATGATTGCATTTTATTGATGTGCTTGGGTTGGCATGTGTCTCTGTTTTCATGTTGGGATTTTTAATTCTATCACTTACCATGATCCTGGTTCTATGCTTTAACCATGCTAATGCAGTCTCCTGATCATGAAAAATATGTATGGTTAGAGATAAGGTCGGTGCCATCTAAAATTTTTGTGAAGGCGATGTTTTCAATTTTTTGCATGCAAAGCAGATGAATGGTCTAACCCTGTTACTGTCCCTGTGGGAGTTCAGCATGTGAGGATATGAGATGATGAATAATTTGTCGTTATAGATAAGACTAATAGAGCAATCAGTTTAAAGAAAAACCATAGCCAGTCAATATCATTTGTTTAGCGAATTTGTCTTGTACCGGGTTCTTGGTCTAGCATGCTAGTTTGGATGTGTTGACCAGGGTTTATGGAACCTTTGGACACCGAAACCCACATACAATGGTTTTGTCGATAGCCACGATCGCCACTCGCTTATTTATAAGAATTGGTGAAATTTTGATGAATCTAACTGGAAATTTGAATTTCAGTATTGACTTTTTATGACTTGATCAGTGTACGGTTCCTCAATTCGTATTGGCATGGTAAATTTAGTGCCTCAAAATAGGACCCCACCTAATATGGTTTTAACCTGGTGCCTATAAATATTATGCACACTTAAGTGCTTGCTTTCGATACAAATATTGCACACTAGTCCCAAAGAACGGGTGTTGGATAGCGTTGTTTTCCTGCTTTGTGTAAAGTTCTGGTAGTTTGGCGCTGATCCTTAGAGTTTGGTTATCGTTGTTGGGCTCTTATCTCTGGGCTCTTATCGCCCTGATCAAAGTTAGCTGGTGTTTTGAGTAGAGTTTGTTTTTGCTCTTATCTCTGGTCTTTTTGCTGGCCCCTGTTGGCTTTTGCTTCACTGGTAGTTTGATCTCCGTTGTACGCTGCTGTTCCCAGCTGGAACACTGCCTATGCGGCTTTCAATTAAAAGCCGAGTCTCTGCCCTTTTCTCTAAAAAACAAATATTGCACACACAAAGAGTATATTTTCGATAAAAATTCAGCTTGCATTCGATACAAATATTATACACACACCAGTACACTTTCGATAAAAATTCAGCGAGTATAAAAAATTGTCAACGATCTTACAGCAGTGGGGTTGGGAAAATAAGAAAAGTTAAGCCCGGTGATTCTGTGAAAAGAAACGGATTTCAAATTCCTTCTTTTTATGCCATCTTTCGAGTGTGCGCATGCATAACGCTAGAAAAAAACGTTAGGGATGTTTTTTCTGACTTGTTTCACAATGATACGAAACTGAGACTGCCTAGCCTGCTCAATCTAGGCAGGCATCTGTATATCGGTAGGGAAAAAATAGTTTATGGGGATGTTTCTTTCACTTGGTTTCACAATAATACGAGATGAGAGGGTTTTATCAAACCGTTTAGGGATGAGTTACCACGTGAGGTATATTATGGTTTAAAAAATTGAAAGTGTAACCATAATAACCGTGTGATAACCGTACGTCTTATAGACCCCTATCTAGTCACAACAGTGGTATCGTTGTGTAGGGGTGGGCTGGCAAAAAGACCAAAACCGAAAAAATTCAACACAAAGAAAATGTTCAGCTCTCACGACTTTGAACTCAAATTTCAAGCTTCCGATTCAAATCAGCGCCCCAAAACGGGTGGTGCTCTTATGAATTCAATCGTGCAACCGAAACATACTTGATTTCAGTGCAGAGTTTTCAGCTCACACAATGATGACGCCGAGTGCTGACTAGGGCTCCCCAAAACGCTTTAGATGAGATTACTCTCACCTCATGGTTTAACGGTTATCGTGGTAATTGCGTGGCTACCGTAAAAACCGTGCGATTACCACGAGGTATACCGTGATTTCAAAAACTGAAAAGGTTACCGCGCTGATAACCGTGTGATAACCACATGATCAGGGGTGAAGCTATAATGGAATGGAGGGAGACTGAAAGGTACCACTTGCTTTATTTACTCTAGTTTGAATCGAGTTTAAATTTATATGAATATTTAAGTTTATATTTATAGGGTACACATCCAGTGAAAATAGATCGATTACCGGCATTCCCGTACTACTCTAGGCCTCTAGCTCCGCCCCTACGCACGGTTTTGTAAAAGGGTAAACTGGTGCCGACATCCCGCGCAGCACCCGTCGAGGCGTCGAACCGCCCACGCGTCCCCTTTGCTGATGTGCTCGCCTGCGCTTTGACCACCGCTTCGTCCCCTTCTACAGCCTCTCGCTAAGCTAATTATCACCATTCAAAGCAAGCGAAGCCGCTAAACCACACCTACTAACCACGCAATTAGACAAAACAAATCACACTCGCTTCGCTAATCGCTATTCGCTAACTAACCACCACCTCCGCTTAAACAAAAAAAAAAGATTAATAAAGCAGTGGGGATTTGGGAAGAAAGGGAGGTATACAGTGGAGAGATAGGGGAAGAGAGGGAGCGATCCAATCGCGTCGCTAAAACCCTAGCGGCTGGCTGATTTGGGGGATTGCTCGTCGGAGAGATGAAGATCCAGTGCAACGCGTGCGGCGCGGCGGAGGCGCGGGTGCTGTGCTGCGCCGACGAGGCAGCGCTCTGCACGGCGTGCGACGAGGAGGTGCACGCCGCCAACAAGCTCGCCGGGAAGCACCAGCGGGTGCCGCTGCTCTCCGACGACGGCGGCGCCGCGCCCGCCGCCGCCGCCCCGGCCGTGCCCAAGTGCGACATCTGCCAGGTCGCCCCCCTCCCCTCCCCTCCCCTCCTCGCTCTTTCTGCCTCGATTAGGGTAGTTGAGGCGTGCAGGAAATTTTGCCTCGATTTGTTTGATAGTAGTTTTGGATGTTCTTACCGAGTATAGTCAGTTAGCAAAGCGAAATTACTACGTTTATCAGCGATTAGAAGAAGCTATTCTTCCATGTTGATCAAGCTGTGCTGGCACACGTTTATCAGCGATTAGAAGAAGCTACTCTTCCATGTTGATCAAGCTGTGCCGGCACTGGAGAGGGGGTAGTAACTAGTAAGCATATGGAAGCACAAATAGGAATTCCTGTATATCCTGAGCTAAAAATTGAGGGGGTTGCTATTGATACTATGATGAACATCTATAAGTAAAACCCCATTTCGCCGAGGTGTTTTCTTATCTTGTGTTGTATGCTTAAGCTTCTTAATCACAATTAGCCAATTTCACATCTAGTTAACCACTATATATTTTTTATCAGTGGAAGGATCAAACTCTCTTTAAGGATACAAACTGAATTCTCACAGACTTGGATAGTATGAGGTAAAAAGGAGGTTAGAAAAGATTGACAGTTCATAGTTATGGTTTATATTGTGCTTGATGAATGAACACTAGAGTGAAGAGACAAGTCTGGTAATGATCTTTTCTGTTGGTGCTGTGTGAAAGTATACGGTCCCTAATATGATATCAAATGAGATGATATAAAATAAACGGTGAAGTGATGACTATCTGGTAACCCTAGCTAAAGCTATGCTTTGCCATTTCAATCATCTAAACTAGGGCAAATATTTGAACATTACAGTTGCATAGGTTTCTTACACTGAGGACACATATTGTAAAGTAGCACCGTACCAACATTTAATAGAGTGATGTCATGCTGCACATTAAGACCAGCTTTTTTTTTTTCCGATGCTCTGAGGTAGACTGTAAGCCTTGTGCAGTTTTACATAGCAAATCCTAGTATGTAGTGACTGTATGTGTTTTATAGGCTTATCGGGTCATTTCTAGTTGACAGATTGTTATATGTAAAACTTATTGTTTGGAATACCTAAAAAAAAATAAGGAAAAAGTATATGCTATTTGCTTTGCATGTTTATTTGTGCTGCACTTTAAGTCCAAGATCTTGCAAATGTTTTCTTGGTTTTTTGCATATCAACGTGATTATGCGGTAAGAAAATTAAATTTTGAGGCCTCTAGCAAAAACATAGAAAGTCATTGGTTGGATAGATACTTATTTATAGTTTATCTGAACCCCATCCTTTATTTCCATAAGGACGTTTGTCCAACTGTATTGTTCTATTTTAGACGGTGAGATATGGTACCAGACTGGATAGGTTGGATGTAGATCTTTTATGATGACATGATGAAATATGGCACTGTTCAGTTGGCTGTGTCATGTGCAACTGTGTAAAGTCCATGTGCAAAGAAAGGGACAACTAATGGTCTGATTATTGGACACATGACTGAAGTGAACCCACATAGGTTTCATTGCATCTCGTTGGTTCCTGCTGGAACTGCAAGTTGTGCTATTTATCCTTGATTTATTAGGCGCAGATCTCAAACTTTATTTGTCATTGCAGGAGGCTTCTGGATACTTCTTCTGCCTGGAGGACCGTGCACTTCTTTGCAGAGATTGTGATGTTTCTATACACACAGTAAACTCCTTTGTTTCAGTACACCAAAGATTCCTACTAACAGGTGTTCAAGTTGGCCTTGATCCTGCTGATCCAGTTCCACCTGTTGCTGACAAGCATGTTAAGAGTGCTGGTGGTTCAGTGGATTCAGCAACTAAACATTTGCAAAGGAATCCTACAGACTTATCTGGTGAAAACAGTGCATCTTTGCCCAGCCAAAATGTAATCAATGGTAATTATTCTAGGCAGAGTTCTGTTACAATGGCCAAGACAGGACAGGTCAATTGGACTATGAGCAACAACACAATTAGATCAATAGACCCTCCACCCAAGTATTCATCAGAGGAAAGTCCAGCACTTCTGCTAGCTAGCCACACTAGCACCATGGCAGCGTACTCCAGTCAAATCAGTAAGGATAGTGATCGGATCTACAACTTACCATTCACAGGTGGTAATGGGTCAGATAGTCTACATGATTGGCATGTTGATGAGTTCTTTAGTAACTCAGAATTTGGCTTTGCTGAGCATGGTTCTTCTAAGGTATTCCAAAATATTATATATATGTAAATTGCTGGTTGCCTGTTTTTCCTGTTATCAACAGTATGTCGTGCTTATTTAGTAATTTTTTGGAATGCAGAGTTTAAGCATGATACTTTGATTAATATTAGAGTACTGATACAGGACATGCACACACTCTCTCTCTCACACTCTCTCACACACACAGACAAATACCTGTCGAATTGTTAGTTGTTCAGTGAATGCATTTAAAATTAGGAGTTTTTACTGTGATACAATTAGACTTCTGTTATAATTTAGTTTATTCTAGATGTTTAGATGTTAACCTTTCCGTCATTCGTTAAGTGAAAACCTGTACCTAAGCTTATCTGTGTTTATGATTAATGAGAATTTCTTACCTAGTTGCTCCTTCCAATTGATATATGCTGATGGAACTGTGCAATGCTCAAGTCCTAGAATCAATCTAGCATGCTGATGCTTTGGGGGTTTGGATTCTATGACAATCTTTTGCTGAAATATAAATTGTTTACCGTAACTATCAAGCTTATAAGACAGTAACTTAAAGTCTGTGGAAGTGATTGCTGTTCCCTTGGCGTATGCTGTTTCATGTGTGCTTTTGGATGAATTCCACCACCTTTGCTATATACAGTTCATTGCGACTAATTTTAGAGCTGTCAATCATGATTTTTCTAGCATGTCTTGTTCGATTATGCAATGTGACTGAACCATACTCCCTCTGTCCCAAAAAAAGGCAACCTAGTACTAGGATGTGTCACGTCGTAGTACGAGGTTGAGTTTTTTTGGGACGGAGGGAGTACTGCTGACAGAATGAGGGCTAGATTTTTGTGTGGCATTTACATCGATGCTTAATTTATTTGCAAGTAGACTTTCTATTACCAAAGAAGCTCACTATTGAATATCTTTCTCTTCTCCTGCTGGGTTGAATTTCTCCATTTAGGTTTGCTTCTTATGCCGTTGTTGTTTTGGCTGTGCACTTACAGGGTGACAACGCTAAGCCAGGGAGTGCTGGTGGATCTCCGCAGTGCCGTCTGGCTGAAGGCCTGTTTGTCGAAGGACTTCTAGGTCAAGTGCCTGACAATCCATGGACAGTGCCTGAGGTCCCCTCGCCACCGACAGCCTCTGGTCTCTATTGGCAAAATAATTTGCTTTGCCCTTCGTACGACAGCACCATGTTCGTCCCTGAGATTTCCTCCTTGGAGAACTCTCAGAACAACTTCACTGTATCTGCTGGTTTGAAGCGCCGAAGGAGGCAGTTTTGATCTGCCGATAGCATCAGACACCATTCGGTTTAGTTGGCAGGTCACGTTGAGAGGAGGGCTTCTTGCCTGCCTGACCAAAGCCACAAAACACAGGGATGGATGATCATCCAGTGGTCAGTCTAAAAATATGTTGTAATGTTTGTGTTTCGACTATACGTTTGTTGCTGAAGTTTAAAGGCGAGGGAATTGTTGTGAGATCTGGGATGACAGATTTGTTGTTACCAATTTTGTGAATAGTGAAAATAAAAAGAGCATGGATAAGATCATGAATTCATGATGCGCAGGTTAATACATGTTGAAGTTCCTTAGCCACGAACAGTTTTGGTAGCGGGGTGTATGATGTATGATGTTAACCACAATTTTTCGAGCTAGTTTATGGAGCTAGACGACCTGGGTTCAAACCTCTTCTCTTCTAATTATTTGATATTAGGTCATTTCTTAATATTCGTGGTTTTTTATGTGACGCCAGGTATTGCAAGCTTGGGATTTATCCTAACGTCTCACTGTATTTGGAAATTTCATATGAATTTTACAGAGATTTGTAAGAATTTGATAAAAACACACACTTCAATTTCAGTATGAGACGGGAGAAGTTCAGTTCAGTTCACACGTTCGTAGGGATTTGATGGTTTTGCTTTTGCATCACCACCACTCACCAGTTCTCTTCTGTACCACGAAGGATAAAATCAGAGCCGTCCATCCAGGTATCCGACGGTTCAGATACTCCCAACGTGTTGACCCCTTCGGCCATTTGCGACTGCCGCTTTGCAGAAGCATCACGGCCGCATCGGCGACCCCGAACTCCGCCGCCGCCCGCAGCCGCCGCCGCCTTCGCAGCCGCCGCCGCCGCCGCCTTCTTCCAGGGCAAACGATGCTCCGCCGCGTCGCGCCATCCCTGCGGCGAGCTATCCTCACATCCTCCGCCCATGGCCGCGCGGGCGCGCAACTCACGGAGCCTGGTCTCTCGCCTCGCCACGCTCTGCTCCCGCAATGGCGCCTTTGCTCCTCCGCGGCCTCCACGAACTCTCCCCCGCCCCCGCCGCCGCCTCCTTCTTCTCCGCCTCAGGGAACACCGCGTCCAGCAGGCGGATCCACCGTCTCGTCGCTGAACCCTGCCGAGGTCGCCAAGTTCGCCGCCATCGCTGAGACCTGGTGAGATCCCCCCTCCACTCCCTCCCATTCCTGGCATGGTTTTTTGAGATGATGAACTACCACGCCCTCGCGATGCTTGGCCAATTTCGTTTAGTGCAATGACATTGATAGTGCTTTAGTAGTAATTTTGTACTTGGTGAATTGTGGTGAATACTGCTTCTAGCATGAGCTCAGTCAACAAATTTGATTGTACTCTTTGTTTTTTGGCACTCGAATAGTAGAATTCTCATTTAGGAGCAGATTCACAGGAAAAAAAAAGTGGGGTTACATATGTGTTGTTTCAAATGGAATGAACCTCCGACTTATCACCTGAGCATATGATTGCTTATTAGTGGCACAATTCCTGCAATAAACAGGTGGGATTCTGAAGGTCCATTCAAGCCGTTGCATCTGATGAATCCAACTCGACTGTCTTTTATCCGGTCCACTCTCTGTAGACATTTCAGGTACAGTTCCTCAGTCATTGTATTCATTTGTGGTTGTGATTATCACTGGTAAACCTGAATAAGTAAAGACAGGACATAGTGTCAACTCTTGTTTTGCCCCCTAACCATGTGTGTTCACTCTGCTAGGCGGGATCCAAATTCTTCTAAACCACTTGAAGGCCTTAAAGTTATTGATGTTGGATGTGGGGGTGGCATTCTCTCAGAGGTACCATCATTTTTTTCTTATAATCTGCTACTTTCTGACACTAAAATATATTGAACTGTGATCTATGTGATACTTACATAAAGGGAGAATGATATAGGTTCATGTAGGTGCGCCATATAGAAATGGGTATCATATGTGTGCTCGCGTCTTGCTTATCATATGCTTTTTGTGACATGTGCATATTGTAATTTGTAACTAATCATATCCAGGACTTTGGGAACAGGGACATACCATTCATCTACATGATATGATAGCTTAGGAATATGCCACAGCATAAGCTCATAATCATGCTAGCCTTGTAGGTTTGAATTTATTTTAACCTCTAACAACCATCTTTGAATATTTTGACTTACTAACCTCTATATTCTATATTGGCTTGTCCGGAATCAACCAAACTCCCAAGTATTAATCATATTCTCCTTTCGTAATCAAGTTTATAGACGTGGAGTTAGTGCATCTGTTGGCCACTTGTGCTTATACTTCATGGAGCATTGCTGATGCATAATGCTAGGCAGAAGATGGTTAATTCAGTTTCAGACTATGTTTAAATAGATACATCACTTATGCTGCATACCTCGATGTCTTCAGTAATGGCTCAACTCAGAAACATTGCGTACAGTAAAAATCAATCTGACAATGCTACTGAATAATCTCATAAAATGTGGAAAGTAGATCCACAGTCCACATGCTGCTTGACTCTAAATTGTTTGTGTTTTTTTACCTCATGTCAATGTATTCTAAGTGTTGCTGTGCATTTGTGGGCTGTAACATATGCTTTGTTCTATTGTTTGATTCACTGGACTAATTGCATGCTTATATGGCAGCCTCTTGCTCGGATGGGAGCTACAGTTACTGGAATTGATGCTGTTGACAAAAATATAAAGATTGCACGTGTCCATGCTGTATGTATAAGATTATCTAGTCATCTTAATATATTTATTAGATAGGCACACATTTGTTTCTCTCTTGATATATTAAAACAAAGTTATACTACTAAGGTTTAACTTACTGGATTACTCTGGCGTCCTTAAGAAGTTATATTATGATGATGTAACACTACACAATACACATAATGCTAAATGGAGCTTCAAATTTGTTTAGTTGTTCTCATCATATTGCATTGTATGGTCATCATATATATGATATTCATACTTTGAGGACTGATGATACCCATATCCTTTTCGTTAACTTTTGGTTATGATCTCATAAAGGCAGAAATGCCCAAGTAGACTCAATAATTTTATTATCTTTCCGCCAATGATTTTTTTTTTTTAAAAATTTTGTTTTCACATTCACAGGCATCCGATCCATCAACTGCTTCCATAGAATATTTCTGCACAACAGCTGGTCTCTCTCTCTCTCTCTCTCTAATGCTGCATTTGTACTTCCTGTCAGTTTAATCATATTGCTACTAATATATAAGTTTTAGTTAAAAAATGACTTGCTTGACCATTATTTTCTTTCAAGCAAACTAGCTTAGTGCCTACTTTGTGATGTACGAGAAATAAATATACCCCGTCTAGTCATGATTGGTTGTCCTAAACATCATATATTCAAGACTGGATGTAGTACTATAATAATCTAAAGTAAAAAAAGAAGAGCAAAAACTGATTATCCTCAAATCTAAATATTTTTTACATGTCCATATGGGATTAGATAATCACCTAGCATATGCAATATTTGCCTTCCTTCCTTTTTTTTAATATAAAAAAGTAGAAATATGTAATGTCTATATATGTAGCAGGGAAGATCCTGAAAAATGAGGTCGTATTAGAACACACCATCACTCCCCAACGCCTACTTTTATAAGAGCCGTGAATGAAGACTAAAAGATTGGCAGAGAAACTGGATGCATTTATCCACTCATAAGAGTGTACATTTGCTTCTACTTTTTTCTTTCTTTTTTCATTTCACCTTTATGAACTATAGTTTATCCTTTCAAATAATATATCTAGCCTGCCGATCTGCTCACATGTAAATAAGACTGTGTCGTTCTTGGGAAACATTGGCAGCACACATTTTCTACAGCGGTCTAATGCAGCTAGCCTCCCAATAATTATCATAACAAATTAACATTACTAAAGGAAGAAAAAAAATCCCAGTTTCTGTAAGAACAAATTTAGCATTCAAAAGATTTTTCTCTCTTGATTGTGACCAAAACCAAACTTATGTGAATATTGTTCTTGTGCAGAGGATTTGGTGAAAGAGAACAAACAATTTGATGCTGTGATTTCTCTTGAGGTATACACATTTTCATCCCATCTATGCCCTTCCTGTATGTCAAACAAGAAGCTTATTTATTGTGGAAGGCTGCAGAATCTGGAATTCAGAGATGCCTCGTCAATCTCTGATTGGAGAGCCTTTTTAATGTTATATTAGACAATGCTTTGGTTGTTCTGTTCTTGTAAATTATATAGCTTTCCATGCGTGCTTGCTAGTTCCTCTGATTATATTACTAATTTGCTGCAATTGATCCCCGCAAAAATAAAAATAAAAATAAAATTGCTTCACTTGATAAGAACTGATCTATTTCATGTACTCATAATCCAAATTTCGGGAGTCATGTATGGAATATCTGGAAGACCTATGTAGCTTACAGCAGAATATCGTACAGATGCTGCATGTTGTTCTTTAACCTTTCTTGATGAAAAATAATGTATTGCTGTGCGCCTGTGCCATCATGAGTGCAGACTAACCTTAATATACTTTCAGGTGATCGAGCATGTGGCTAATCCCTCGGGGTTCTGTGAATCTTTGTCAGCTTTGACAGTTCCTAATGGGGCCACTGTGATTTCTACAATCAACCGCTCAATGAGGGCATATGCAACTGCAATAGTCGCTGCGGAGTATATTCTTAATTGGGTTAGTCTCTATCTCTCTAGCATATTTTGGCCTCATACCCTCAGGTATATACTGCATTGTGTAGTCCTCTGTGTTGGAGAAAAAAATGCCATTCCTTCATGGTTAGCTTCTCGGAATCTTGATAGTGCAATTTATACCTCAAACCTTCCCAATGATTAATGCTTCATAGCCATACAGTGCCACACAAAATTGGTTGTCAGAATCATCCAATATTCAGGTGTGTACAGTAGTAAAAGAAATATATAGATTCTGTTCGTCATAATAGGTATTCATGGAGCATACGCAGGATGTAGTGTTATCTTGCCCAACGTCATTGTCTCACATATTACACAAGTGAAGTAGGGAATACATGCTTGCGGTGAAATTAGTTGCCAACAGGAGCATGTTTCTTAGTGTTGCCAGTTAATTGTTCTGTTGTTTGTTAGGTATGTTTCGAATATGAAAAAAAAGAAAGAAAAGAAAAGTGCATGTACCATCTTCAAACTGTTTGATTATAGGGTCAGACTAACTCGTGATGTTCCACTGAATGCTATCCAATGATTAGTTTCAAGTCTTGTAAAATATTTTCCCTGTGCTTTTACAGCTTCCTAAAGGCACACATCAGTGGTCCAAACTAGTTACCCCTGAGGAGCTGGTCCTTATACTGGAAAGAGCTTCAATCTCTGTAAGTTCTTCATCACTATGCTAAAAGTTTATCTTTTGTTGTTAGTCATGTAACTGAAAACACATCCATCACCAGGTACAAGAAATGGCCGGGTTTGTGTATAATCCGCTGCGTGGAGAGTGGTCTCTGTCAGATGATCTTACTGTAAATTATATTGCTTATGGCATGAAGAAAGTCGAAACACCCTCTGAGTCAAATTGACCTCACATCATCAAAATATTTTCGTCGGGAACTAAAACGTGCGCCACTTGAAAATTTTGGCAGGGATTACAATCAAATAGCACACTGAAAAGTTTTGACTTCTCTTTTTGTTAATTTCGGAAAACAGGGAGCATGTAGTAGTGTCATGGGGAAGCCCCACTGAGGTGTGCAAACTGCTAAGTTGATAGCAGTGGCAACAGCTAACAAGTAAAGTAGGGGTAGCTTTGTCTCTTTGATTGTAACTAGTAGTACTTCTTTCAAACTTTCCTTCATATAAATAAGTACATTTCAGACGAGTTCACCAAAGTTCTAGCTGCGATTGCCCTTTTGTTAAACTATATGCAGATACTGTTTCTCTTGTTATATAGATGAATTCCCTCTTTCCTTTCTATTTACCATCTTCTATGGAGTACGAATGCATGACCCCATGAAACTTAATGTTTCACGCTTCATAATTCACAACCTGTCAGTGTAGCCACAAGCCTCAGAACTTTTTACATGAGAACTACCTCTAATATCTTCAGCAAACAGCCAACAAAGCATGGCTTTTGATAGAAAACCAGAGTGAAATTCCCAGGACTGTCTTACGGTTTTATATAAAGGGATAATAAAACATAAACATTTAAACCATAAAACATATGACTGTCACAAGTTATAATATACTCCCTCCGTCCTATAATATAAGGGATTTTCAGTTTTTGCTTGCAATGTTTGACCATTCGTCTTATTCAATTTATTTTGCAAATATAAAAAATAAAAAGTTGTGCTTAAAGTACTGTAAATAATAAATGAAGTCACAAATAAAATAATTAATAATTTCAAAAAAATTTGAATAAGACGAGTGATCAAACGTTGTAAGCAAAACTCAAAATTTCTTATATTATGGGGACGGAGTATATTATTCTCTATGACTTTGATCATAAAATGAGTTACTCTTACTTTCTTTTATTATTTACACTGGACTGCACCAGTGTAAATCAGCCCCCTGTTTAGCTTCGCGCCCGCCGTTTTAGAGAAAAGAAAACTATGCTCACGTGCTCAATTACTATGATAATATTTGATCCGAGGTTGACAACTAAATAGTACAAAATATAATAATTAAAAATTTTATAGGATAACTTCAAACCTAGGAGGAGACGAAACAAACACGGCTGCCTGCCTGAGGCTGAGAGAGTCAATATTTATGGTTTTGCATAGCCTATTTTTCTACTGCACGGAGGATAAATCTGGGCCGTCCTTCAGTTATCCGACGGCCCAGATATTCCTAGCGGGCCCTCCTAGTTCGTCCGTCAACTCGCGGCCTATAATTACCTCGACCACCACCGCCGCCGCCGTATCGGCGATCACACTCTCGCTGCCACCGGTGAAGTCCAGGCTCGAGCAAGCGATGCTCCGCCGCCTTCCTCCGTGCCTCCGGCGAGCGCTCCCCGCCTCCTCCTCCTCCACCTCCGCTCCTCGCCGCGGCGTTCGCCTCGCGGAGCATGGCCAATCCCCTCCTCAATCCGCGCCCCCACCGCCTTCTCCGGCTACGCAGAAGGACGGCGCGGTGCGTACTCCGGGTGGCGGATCCGCCGCCTCGTCGCTGAACCCCGCCGAGGTCGCCCATTTCGCCTCCTTTGCTGAGACCTGGTGAGATGAGATGAGATGAGATCGATCCCCTCGTCTGGCCTCTACTCCCTCCTCTTGCTGGCCGTGTGGTTACGTCTCATTCGAGATGATGAACCTACTGCTCCTTCGCTAGATGCTTTGGCCAAATTTTTATTTAGTGCAGTGGCCTTGATCCTGTTTTGATTCTAGTTTTAGGAATAATTTGTACTACGGTGATGAATACTGCTTCTAGCACGAGTGCGCTATAGCTCTCAACAAATTTTTTTTATTGCATTCGATTAATACCATTCTCATTTAGGAGTAGCTAGTCCACAGAAATAAAATAAAATAAAATAAATGCATTCGATTAATATCATTCTCATTTAGGAGTAGGTAGTCCACAGCGAAAAAAAAATGGGGTTGTATATGGTTGTTCGGAATGGAATGAATCTCCGAATTATCACCTCGCATTTATATGATTGTTTCTGGAATGAACAGGTGGGATACTGAAGGGCCATTCAAGCATTTGCTTGTGATGAATCCAACCCGAGTGTCTTTTATCCGGTCCATTCTATGTAAACATTTCAGGTACATTTCCATATCCACCATATTTATTTGTGGTTGTGATCATCAGTTTATCACTGGGTAGCACCTGAATAAGTGTACTTCTACATAATCAAACTGTCAACTCTTTTTTTTCCCTAACTGTGCGTATTCACTCTGTCAGGCGGGATCCAAATTCATCTAAACCACTTGAAGGTCTTAAAATTATTGATGTTGGATGTGCGGCTGGCATGCTCTCGGAGGTACTGAAGTTCTCTATCTTAGATCAATTCCTTCCGGATCTCTCAGTGCATTTGTGGACTGTAACATGTGCTCTGTCTTTTTGTTTGATTGTCTGGACTAACTGCATGCTTATACATGGCAGCCTCTTGCTCGGATGGGAGCTACAGTTACCGGAATTGATGCTGCTGACGAAAGTATAAAGATTGCACGCGTCCATGCTGTATGTATAAATATATTTAGCCATCTTAACATAATTATTAGTTGGACAAGAATGGGCACGTGTTTCTTTCTCAAAATGTTAAAACAAGTAAATTCATGCTACTAATATTTAATTTACTTACTCTGGCACTCTTAAGAAGTTATATTATGGTGATGTAATGCTACATATGTGTCTCTCTCTCTGTTCTTTTACTTAACTTTCGGTTATGATTTCATAATGATAGCAATGCCCAAGCTATAGCCATGATAATTTTACTATCTTTTTCATAAATGATTTTTGGTTCTTATATTCACAGGCATCTGATCCATTGACTGCTTCCATTGAATATCTCTGCACAACAGCTGGTCTCTCTCTCTCTCTCTCTCTCTACATAACTGTTAGTTATTATCATTAGAACATATTTATAGGCCATAACTGTTAGTTTTTTTTTCCATTTCACTTTTATATATGTTGTTCTTGGGGATCATAGGTTGCACTTGAATTCTCTGTTGGTTTTGATACAGCTAGCTTATCAATAATTTACCCTGCCCTATAATAATATATCGACTGGACTTGAAAAGTTGAAATGAGGAACATAAATCCCCAGTTTCTGTCATAATGCACTTAAATATGCAAATGATTGATCTCTAAAACTTCTCATGGCTGTGATCCGTGCAAAACTTATGCGAATATTATTCTCGTGCAGAGGACTTGGTAAAAGAGAACAAACAATTCGATGCTGTAATTTGTCTTGAGGTACACACATTTTCATTCCATCTACGATCTATGCCCATTCTATCTGTTAAACAAGACATTTGATTAAATATAGGGCAATGGCATAACCTTTTTATTGTGGCAGGCTGCAGGCATCATCTTCAAGACTCTGAAGTTCAGAGATTCCTTGTCAATTTCTGAACGGGGAGCCTTTTTGTTGAGTTATATAAGTATATTGGAGAATGCTTTGGTTGTTTTGTACTCATAATCTATATAACATTCTACGTGTGCTCACTTTGTTACCAATTTACTATACTTGGTACAGTAAACATTAAACTATTTCATTTACTCCAAGAAGAACTAAACTATTTTACGAACCCTCAATGACTTATACAACAAATAGAGGAGCCATGTGTAAGAAATCTCTGGTATGCAGCTTACAGCAGAATATTATAGAAAATATACAGCATGTTGCTCTTACAAGCTTTCTTAATGAAAAATAATTTACCACTGTGCCGTGAATACAGAGTAACCTTAATTTATTTGTAGGTGATTGAGCATGTGGATAATCCTTCGGAGTTCTGTGGGTCTCTGTCAGCTTTGACAGTTCCTAATGGGGCCTTTGTGATTTCTACAATCAACCGCTCAATAAGAGCATTTGCAACTATGATATTTTCCACTGGGTTAGTTCTTGTCCCTTTTGCATATTTTTGCTTCCTCCCTCAGATGGTTATGTAGTCCACTGTGTTACAGAAAAATGCCATTTATTCATAGCTATCTTATTGGAGTCTTTGATAGTGTAACTTATACTTCAAACCTTTCCAAATGATTATTGGTTGTTGAAATCATCCAGTATTCAAGTGTCTAGAATAGTAAATGCAATTCTGTTTCACAATATGTGGTCTTCAAGGAAGCATAGACAGGAAATAACGGTACGGTGTAGAACGTTTACTTACCCTTTGCTTCATCAATTAATTATGTTGATCAGCATAATCACCTGCAAACTGTTTGATCACAGGCCCACTCAGTCAGGCCACAAACTTTAATGCGATGCAATGATTAATTTTGAGCCTCGTAAAACATTTTTCCTGTGTTTTTTACAGATTCCTAAAGGCACACACCATTGGTCAAAATTAGTTACCCCTGATGAGCTAGTGCAAATGCTGGAAAAAGCCTCAATCTATGTAAGCTCTTCGTCACTATAATATGTCTAACTTTTTGTTGTAAGTTATGTAACTAATACCAGATCCATCATCAGGTACAAGAAATGGCAGGGATTGGTTATAATCCATGGCGTGGAGATTTTTCCATGTCAAAGGATACTAGTGTGGATTATTTTGCTTATGGCATAAAGAAAGTTGAAACACCCTCAGTAGTGTCACAAACTCAAGCTTAGCACACTGTTAGTACAAAGGGGAAAAAAAGAGATGATCCTGAATCATCGGGATCAGGATAATTCTGTTGCAAGAAAAACATGTGCTATTTGTATGTTTTTGTGCGGACTACAATCAGATAGCAAAGTACAGTGTACGTGTGTAGTGTACACACTGTAGTGGTGTGTGCATATATATCTTCCATGTAATAAAACAAATAGCAAATTTAAAAGCTTTTTTTTTCATATACTATCTGTTGAGTACTCTCTCTTTGTATTAAATGAATTCTGAAGGATTTTAGTTGAAATTGAATTATTTATTATTATTTTTGTTTGGTAAAACTCCTATGATTATTCAGCAATGTACATCTTTGGATGTTATTTCCCCGATCATATATATATATATATATTTGATGTTTAGGATAAGATTTAACCGAACTTTTAAAATCTCATCCACCAATTTTATATTGGAATATATTTTATAACATCTAACAAATTTATGATAGTATAATACTAGTATTTTTTAGTCAAATCTGCATATATCATTTTCCAAAAACTAAGAAATTTGAGAAATTATTGATGGTTGATATTTTAAAGTTTCCCTGAATCTTGGTTGTGTTTAGTTCAGCGCAAAGTTTGGATTTCGGTTGAAATTGAAGATGATGTGACTGAAAAGTTGTGTTTGTATGACAGGTTGATGTGATGGAAAAGGACTGAAGTTTGAATCTAAACTTTGGATCTAAACACAACCCTTGTTTTAAAATGAAGGGGGTATAACCGTATAAACTGCGAGTTAGCACATCACTGACAACTTGGTCCCACAAAGCTTTACTTCCGCGTGGGCCATACCGCGAGAGTATCCGCCGCGCCGCAGAACATGGCGGACGCCGCCGCCGCCGCCGCCGGCGGCGGAGGCAGCCACCGTTCCGTCCACCATGCGCACCTCGCGGCGCTGCTCAACCCCTCCCCGCGCTCGCCGCCGCACCCGCACCCGCTCCAGCTCCACCGGCGCCACCTCCCGCTGTCCCTTCCCGCGGCCCGCCGCCTCGCCGCGGCCTTCCCGCCGCTCCCGCTCCTCCTCTCCCTCCTCGCCGCGCTCCGCCTCCTCCCCTCGCCGCCGCCGCCGCGCCCCTTCGACGCGCTCATCAGGTCGTACGCCTCCCTCCCTCGCCCCTCCCTCGCCGCCGCGGCGCTCGCGTTCGCCGCGTCGGCCGGGTACGCCCCCTCCGTCCCGGCCTACAACGCCGTCCTCCTCGCGCTCTCCGACGCCTCGCTCCCCTCCGCCCGCCGCTTCCTCTCCTCCATGCTCCGCCACGGCGTGGCGCCCAACGTGTACACCTACAACATCCTCGTCCGCGCGCTCTGCGCCCGCGGCCGCCTGGAGGAGGCGGTCGGCGTCGTGGGCGACATGCGTGGCGCGGGCTGCGCGCCCAACGCCGTCACCTACAACACGCTCGTCGCGGCGTTCTGCAGGGCCGGGGAGTTGGACGGCGCGGAGAGGGTGGTCAGCTTGATGAGGGAGGAGGGCAATGCGAAGCCGAATCTGGTGACCTTCAACTCGATGGTGAATGGGCTGTGTAAAGCGGGGAGGATGGAGGGTGCACGCAAGGTGTTCGATGAAATGGTGAGGGAGGGGTTGGCACCGGATGTGGTCAGCTACAACACCTTGTTAAGTGGTTACTGCAAGGTGGGTTGCTTACATGAGTCATTGGCGGTGTTTTCAGAGATGACACAGAGAGGGCTTGTGCCAGATGTCGTGACGTTTACGTCGCTAATCCATGCAACATGTAAGGCTGGTAACTTGGAGCAGGCAGTGGCTCTGGTGGCGCAGATGAGGGAGAGGGGCCTTCGGATGAACGAGGTCACTTTCACGGCACTTATTGATGGTTTCTGCAAGAAGGGGTTCTTGGATGATGCATTGCTTGCAGTTGAGGAGATGAGGAAATGTGGGATCCAGCCTTCAGTGGTATGTTACAATGCACTTATTAATGGGTACTGCAAGTTAGGAAGAATGGATCTAGCAAGAGAGCTAATCCGTGAAATGGAGGCTAAAAGAGTGAAACCCGATGTTGTGACCTATAGTACGATTATCAGCGGATACTGTAAGGTTGGCAATTTGGATTCTGCATTCCAATTGAATCAGAAAATGCTCAAAAAGGGTGTGCTTCCAGATGCAATCACCTACTCATCACTCATAAGGGGTCTTTGTGAAGAGAAAAGGCTCAATGATGCTTGTGAGCTATTTGAGAACATGCTTCAACTTGGTGTGCAACCTGACGAATTTACTTATACAACACTCATTGATGGCCACTGCAAGGAAGGAAATGTTGAGAAGGCTCTTTCTCTGCATGATGAGATGATAAGGAAGGGAGTTCTCCCTGATGTTGTGACGTACAGTGTGCTCATAAATGGGCTTAGCAAGTCAGCACGTACAAAGGAGGCACATCGGTTACTCTTTAAACTGTATCATGAAGATCCGGTTCCAGACAATATTAAGTATGATGCTCTGATGCTTTGTTGCAGCAAAGCTGAGTTTAAGAGTGTAGTGGCCCTCCTGAAGGGATTTTGCATGAAAGGCTTGATGAAGGAAGCTGATAAAGTATACCAGTCGATGTTGGACAGAAACTGGAAGCTTGATGGGTCTGTGTACAGTATACTTATTCATGGGCATTGCAGGGGAGGAAATGTTAGGAAGGCTCTCAGCTTTCATAAACAAATGTTGCGGAGTGGGTTTTCCCCTAATTCAACAAGCACCATTTCATTGGTTAGGGGTTTATTTGAAGAGGGGATGGTTGTGGAAGCAGATAATGCCATTCAGGACTTACTGACTTGTTGTCCACTAGCAGATGCAGAAGCATCAAAGGCTCTTATTGACCTCAATCGGAAGGAAGGTAATGTGGACGCTTTAATTGATGTTCTTTGTGGTATGGCAAGGGATGGACTACTTCCAAGCTCAGGGTGAAATCTGGTATTCAGAATCCTCCCCCTCTGTGGAATACTGGAATTACATGATGACCATATGTCACTTTGGAGTTTGGAGCACTTATTTTTCCATGCTTCGCTTAACAAAATGAAGTGTGCCCTGTGGAAGTACATGACTTGCCTTGAATCATGACGATGCATCATGGAAGGGTTTAAAAGGTTCTTTGTTATTCCTTATGTCCAAAAATGGCACGACTTCTGTTTCTCCATTTATTTGTTTTTCTTGGACAAAAAGCTAATATTGATGAAATGAGTCTCCGCCTGTTGGTTTTGGTTGGTCCCGTGTTTAGTTTGTTGGTCAAATTATCCTGTTTTCATTAACTGACCAGTGTTTGCTTTGCTGCAGATTAAAGATTATAAAATGCTGAAATATGCATGCACCTACACCCCGAGGGAACTGCTTATATCAACCAATGGAGGAACTGAAGATAAAAACGAACAGTGGAACAATGATTGATACAACTGGGCGTTATTCAATGTCTCAATCATGAACCAAAGAGTTCTGCATTGTTCCCCAGCCACAGCCAACGCCCAACAGTCATATGGGGTTTGGATTGGAAGGGTTCTGCCATCGAAACCATTTTTCGTGCAATTAAGCAAATGGAATGTTTTGAGGACGAGTGTCCATTGTTGCTGACGGAGAAGCAAATAAAAAGAAAAGGTTGGACCTAAAGAAGGACTTGGAGTCAATGGTTTTAAGAAGGAAGAGGTAAATATTTCCCCTGGTGAGCGCGCTCGACAAGGGTCGAACCTGGGCTGGTTGGGTGCATGCCAGCGACCCCTGCCACTGCGCTACTAGCACATCTCGGAGAAGCAAATATATCATGATTCATGAAGTTTAAGGTAGTTCGTATTATTGGTATACTAGTCTGTCCCAAAAAAAGACAAACTCTAGCTACAAACCTGGACACGCATGTGTCCAGGTTCGTAGCTAGGATTAGACTTTTTTTTGGGACGGGGTAGCTCTTGAAGAAAATCGAAGTGACAGTTCATACATCACGGAGATGACAAGCGTGGTAGAACAACCACTGAGGTACTGACAATTTAAGCATGATGGATCACAGAGGTTTGTGCCACAGGAGCTACAAAGAGCCAAATGTGCAGGACCGATGCTCCACCAGGTTATCTTGTAACATGTACAGATAAAAACATTTTGCTATGTTACCAAATGGTAGCAGTAAAAATGTAAAATAGATTTCTGTATGACATTGAAATGGGACGCGCCTTGCTCAGGGTACTATTGTTTTTTTTTCTTCTTTTTTACGAGGAACCTGAATGTGGGACCCATTGTCAGCCACCGATGGAAAGGACGGTGCCGTAGACAATGTGGCCTTTTTCATGGCATCGCAATTCCTGGTAATTCTCTGGAGAATCCCAGGGGGTCCCAATGAATTGGTAGCCACCCGTTTGTTGTGCTGTACTCCGCTGCCTCCCCAGCAATTCAGCAAATATCTCCTGCTCTTTGCCTTCATTCTGTAGAGCTCCAGTTTCCAGGCTCCAGTTTGGTTCTCACATATAATTGTGTGTCTTGATTAATTTTCTGTGAGCTCTTCATCTGGTCTGGTATCCTGTGATTTTCTTTATTTGCGTTTTTGGCTCTTGCTTGTGCTTAATTTCTGAGGGGGTAGAGCAGAAGGAGCTTAGTAAAGAGTTCTTTTGCCGAGCAAAATGGCAGGTTACCCTTTGCCTCTAATTCCCATGGCATCGGGGTCGTTGTGCTGCTCGGAAATTGAGTTCGTTCCTGGTTCTCACACTGCTCAAAAGCTGGCCTCTTTATTCAGTGAGGCTGGTTGAGTGAGGCCAGGTGAACATTTTTGTTTAATAAATTCGATCTTGCTCACATCTGCTTTGTTTGGGCACCTCAGTGAGAATCTTTTCCTTGTCGGAAGGTAAATAGTTTTCAGATAAGACTAAGAGATGCATTTCTTTCTTTCTTTCTTGGGATCTTTTCCTTCTTTTTTTTTTTTGCGAGCAAAATTCATCATAATTTGTTTCTGGGTTCTGCTGTTCTGCTCCTCCTCTTTTTGCTGCTAATTCTTTTTTCAGGAAATGCTGCATGATTCTGTAAACCACTATTTTTTTTAGATCATAAACCACTACTGTTTAATCAGTACTCCTACATCTCACATTTGCAGTGCAAAAACGAGCGAATATTTGTACATTCTTAGTACAATGTTTGGAAGCATAATATATTTTTCCTCCCTTTTTCTTTCTTTCTGAAGAACAGATTGTTGGGGGTCCTGCATGACAACAGTAGTCTGACATTAGAGCAGGCTGAGGAGCATCTGATTTTATTCCATGGATTTCATTTCACTCATCCCACATGACACATACGCGTAGGTAGAAGAAGGAGAAGATCAAATCAACTCATGGTAAGCGTACAAATTAAACCAAATGATCATAAAGTAAGGGCGCTAATCAAAACAACAAGAAGAAGAATGAAAAAGAATGAAGGCGAGATGGCATTGCTGATTGCTGCATGCGTGCGCGCGTCGGCATCCGGTTACATGCGGTGGTGAGGCTTGGTGTGGCCGCCATGGCCGCCGTGCTTGCGCGCCCCGTGCTTCTTCGCCGGGTGGTGGTGCGCCGGCGTGTGGCCGTGCTTCTTCGCCGGAGCCGGGTGCCCGGCCACCGCGGTGGCCGTGAACATGAGCACGGCAAGCGCCAGCGCCACCAGCAACCTCTTCAACAATCCCGCCATGGATGGACAGTATGTCTTCTTCTTCCTCCTCCTCCTCTTCTTGCTCTCTCTCTCTCTCTTTATTCTGTTCATATGTGTGCTGGTGGTTGTATATATAATTGCCAAGTGATATGCATGCTGAGGCAGGGCTCTGCCGGGGTAGAACACAGCTAGATTGGGGCTCATCTTCGATTGGTTCGTTTGTTGTTGGGTCACATCAAAAATGGGGGCACAAATCGAGATACACGATAGTATTACTTCCTCCGTCCCATAATATAACAACCTAGAACTAGATATAATATCACATAATACTATGTATCTGAATAAAAAACTTGTCTGCATACGTAATACTAGATAATGTCTCATCTAGTATTAGGTTGCTATATATATTATGGTGCGGAGAAAGTAATTAGCAAGGGGAGTGGAGATGGAGTGGTTGATTGGTTGTCATAATCTGATCGACATCACGGGCTCCTCGCCGTTGCGCATATGCATACGGTTAGTTAGACGCTTGGATGGAAGCTGCTGTTGATATGTTAATTGTTAGGGTTAGGAACTAGTAGGAAAGATACAGCTATAGCTTTGGGTTGTGGTTGGTGATGTGCACATTTCTCATGATGCGTGTAGTATTGTAGTAGATGGCATTATTTGATCAGGTCTGACTTTTGCTGCTAAAATTATGCAAGATTATGGTGTCCCCCAGGGAAGGGCTCTCTTGGTACAGTCTCTGACTTTGTGGCTGAATAGGATTAGTGCATATGAAAATTGGGCTTCGAGAAAGGAAAGCTTTGTGTTACAGGATGTGCTGTCCTGAGAAAAGAAAAATGGAATGTGCCTTTATTTGATTGAAATGTCAGAACAAATTCATGAGAGAGAGAGAGAGAGAGAGAGAGGTACAATAACTCATTTAAATCACAGGAGCATCATATCCATCTGCAAGCAAATAATAATAATAAATGAAATTCAACAACAGCTCAAATTAATGGTTATATAGTCTATAAATCTAACTTGATGTGCAAAGGGGGAGGTTGCCGTCTTGCAGGTACCAAGCTTTGCATTTTTCTTTTCATGGATGTGGCAGTAAAAATTTTAATGGCCACCGACACCGACACACACCGTCGCCGAACTTAAAAAAAAAAAAAAAGATCTTCTGTATCTGCACAAGTGCCACATTTTTAAGTCAGTCCCTATCCGTGGGCAAGAGGAGAAAATTGTTCGAGGTTCTAGGCCGTATTCGGTATTCTGCAGCCATATTTGGTGCAGGTGCCAGGTGGTATTGATCTATGGATTGATGAAGCCTTTGTGAGAATGTGCACCATAGTACTACAGCCATATTTAGACCCAATCTCAAAAATTTTCACCCTATCAGACTATCACATCGAACGTTTAAACCATAGTTATTAGGACCGGATCGGTAAATGAACCGATCGAGCTCTTAGTTCACTGGTTTAGTGGTCGGGCCACTAATTATACATATTGCGACTAATTTGCGAGATGAATATTTTAAGCATAATCGCTCTATGATTTGATAATGTGGTGCTATAGTAAATATTTGCTAATGACAAATTAATTAGGCTTCATAAATTCGTCTTGTGGTTTACTGACGGATTCTGTAATTATTTTTTTATTAGTGTCTGAACATCCTATGGGACACCCTATATAATATCCGATGTGACACGCAAAAACTTTACACCCCTGAATCTAAACACCCTCAACTAGTACGTACAAACAACATACGTAAGGATTTTTTTTTTGCCGTTTTGGATGAAGTAGAACTTACAAAATTATTTGCTAGAATTTTATATTGTTTGTCTTAGTTTTTAATTCTAGTGATCATCTTCTCAGAAGAGTTGGAATTTGTCCCATCACTCATTTGTGTTTTTATTTTTAATTCTAAAACATAATGGCTATGTGCCTGTCGACAAAGACCGAAGATGTAAACTACTCCCTCCGTTCCAAAATATAACAATTTTTATACCTCAGGATTTGTCCTAAAATATAACAACTTCTCCACCAACATTCTCTTCCCAACCAACCACAACCCTCCACCATTCACTTTTCCCACTTACCTTCACTACTCATCCAATCACAACCATCTACCACTTATTTCTACCTACTTTCTTAATAATTGTGTCCAACTCTAGAGCTTCTTATATTATTTTAGGACGGGAAGAGTATTTTTTTCCTTAATCTAAAAGGTGCAAACAACTAATGCGATAAAATCTCTCCACTTCTCATCTCGATGCTGTTGGAGAGGAAGAGATCATGAAAGCCCCAACCCAATTGACTGAATGGGCCTCCAGCGCAAATTGACCTGCAATCTGGGCCGTACAAGTTGATGGGCTAATGAAATAGGCCCTTAGCCTTTGTTCCTGTTCGTTTTTATAAAAGTTTGAAAGTTTCTAGAAAAAAATTTCTCGAACTAAAGTTTTGAGATGATTGTTTTTTTAAAAAATAAATTGTTCATAAGAACAAATGTGCGCTGCATAGCAACCTCCTTCTACCATTGGTAGCGATATGTCCATCTTGGTTCTTGGGTTGGCCTATAGCCTAATTGGTAGAGTATAAAAAACTAGCAAAATATGATAAAGCATTATTAATGTAGTGGTAGAGTCGTGGTTGCATGACTTCACCCATCAGGGTTGAAATCTTGGTGTCTATAAATATTACGTATGTGCACATGAGCTTTTAACAGGGTTTAGGTGAACCGTCTCTTATAGTATGTGTTGGGGGACGCATTTGCGGAGGGGTGTGTGTGGGGTTACGTGTACAGTGGTGTGTGCGCGCGTGTAAGTAAAAAAAACTTGCAAAATATATTGTCGCCTATTTAAACTTTATTTCCTCCGTTCACACTGTAAGACTGCATTGCACACGTTCATTAACATCCATATGAATAATGAACAATGTTAGAAAGTCTTACATTGTGAATAATCATCTTTTAAAAATCCAGTATCATTTTCCATTCGCTTTGCTACATGTTCTCCTCCTCCAACTTCGCCACCTTCCTCAGCACCTCCTCCTCCTTAGCGGCGATCTCCCTCTTCTCCTCCTCCGTGAACGGCGGCGGCAGCGAGCACGGATCAAACCCGGCGACGAACCCCTCCACGGACTCATCCATGCACTCCCTCTCCCTCCCCGCCGCGGCGGCGCACGCCATGCTCTCGGCACAGATCTCAACTGCGTTCGCCGGCACGGTAGGCTTGTACCGGAGCAGCTTGGCGTACTCGGTAATGAGGTGGAACATGTAGTCGTAGACGTAGTCCATGGCCATCTGCTCCCGCACGAACCGGCTCCCCTGCTCGCCGATGCGGCGCGCCGCCGCCGGGTGGGCGTTGCCCCAGTCGACGGCGGCCCTGATGGACTCGCACATCCGGGTCCGGTTGATCGGCCAGTAGTGCTCGCCGGCGACGAGTCCCCGGGAGAGGATGTCCTGGTACGGGGTGTTGACGAACAGCACCGGCGAGTCGCATGCCATGATGTACTTCTCGCTCACCGACCATGCTTCCCCCTCTATGTATATCTTGTACCTGCAAATCGATTGATTAATTTTGCAGCCTTATGTTTGACAAAAAATCATATATGTTTTTTGACACCATGAATGTATTATGCATGCTGTCCATTTGTCCGTGTAGTCGAGAGAGCGTGTATATGAGTGGCTACGTTTATAATGTGTATGGTAAATAATCGAAAGTATTGCAGAATTTTCACATAAGACGGTTTAGAGCTCACCTAGAATAATGCATGATTTTTTTACATGATTTTAATGTGAATTAGTTTATTTTGTCTAAAAATTTCTGTAAAATTGCTTTGTTTTCACGTATAGTTTTTACAGATCATGCGATAAAATGATAATCTATCTGTTTCTTAATAAATGACATCATTGACTGGTGTATCGTTTGACCTTCATTTTATAAAACCAAACACTACATAACCTGTTATATATTTTCTTGTGACTTATTTTATTGTAAATAAATATTAAGTATGAGCTATACTTTAGCATATTTACATTAAATCTTTTAGTTAGACGAATGGTCAAACATTGCTCTGAAAATAAATGGTGTCATCTTAAAAATAATATCGTACGTAGTATATACTTGAGAATTTACACATGTATATGACACATTACCTGTGTAAGCATTGCTTCGGTATGCTAGAATCTTTGAAGCCGTTATGTATGGCATGATTCCAATCCTACAAAATGACATGAGAATTTTGCAATTTGACATCAATGACTAAATACTAACAAAAAAATCGAGTGAATCCCATATAGATAGCCCCTTCAATTAATGTTATGATATTTTTTTCCTTTTTGAAAGTACGGAGTACCTGGCTAAAGAGACGAGCGTTCCAGTCTTTGCCATCGGACGCCGGGTTGCACTTCATGAGCTCGCCGCGGATGCGCGCGACGCCGGGGTTGCCCTTCCAGAACGCGAACGGCTCGCGCTCCGGCCACCGCACGCGCGCGCTCTCGCGGCGCACCGCCTCCAGCGTCGCCGGCCACGCGCCGATGTTCACCTCCGGCCACCCCCAGAACGACCAGTCCGGGAACACGACGTCCAGCGTCGTCGCGTCCCTGCAGTACCGGAACACCGGCGGCGCGTCCGCCGGCGCCGCGGCGAAGTCGGCGGCGCGCACCCGGCCCCGGTCGTCGCAGGCGAACATGATGTCCACGTCGGGGACGCGGCCGGCGTAGCGGCGCAGCAGCTGCGCGACGCCCCACTGTGTGAACGCGTCGCGCGTCTGGTACGAGCGCCGGTACGTCTCCACGTAGGCGCGGCCGGACACCACCACCAGCCGGAAGTAGGCGTGGCGCCGGCCGCGCTCCACCGCCTCGCGCGTGATCCCGGCGCCGCGCCACGGCCGGAGGTCGTCGTGGATGTACCGGAAGTAGTCCGGGCACGACGCCGCTGGCTCGCCGCCGGTGGCGGGCTTCGACGTCGGCGGCGGCGATGGCGGCGTCGCGGGGCACGTCGCCGGCGCCGCCGTGCCGTTGCCGCAGGAGAAGGGCGGCAGTGTCATCAGCGGCGGCGTGGAGATGTTGTGGTGGGGATGCCATTGTCGCGTGCTGGTCCTCACCATGCTGCTGTCACGTAGAAACGACTGTACGTGTGCAAGCATATGGATCAGGATTCAGGAACACGTACTCGTAAATCTTTGAGCTCTATATATGACCCAAATACAGTTTTTGTTTCCAATTAATTTCTAATTTGATAAATCAAAACGTGTCATTTTAATTTCATTTTGTATAGATGTCAATAGAAGAAACTATTCTAAACTCTCGAGAGAATGTCCCCTCGTTACTTATTACATGCCACTCAAAAGGTTATGAAAAAAATAAGAAAAAAAACAAAAATATATATTAATATGTCATAGATTACTTCACAAACATACAAGATTAAATTTAACTTCTACATGTTGAAAAAAAATTATTTAACAATAAATATATGTTAACTGGCTGTAGTTTATTTTTTTTTAAACTCCTAAAAGTTGAATTTCAATCAATTGTTTTTAATATTATGACTATTTAAGTGATATGCAAACTATAACAGAACATTCACCGGAGATTTTAAAATCCACTTTCAAGTTAGTAGTAGAAAGAACAATATGAGCACACGTAGCTGATCTAGAACATTGGTGATTAAGGACATTATTAGCGGTGATCGAAGTACTTCAATGTTCAATAGTTTGATTAACTCTGGTCTGAGACTCTGATCGAGTACAACGTCACTTGTTTGACTTGGCTAGCCAGCAGTAACTTGTTGCCACATGGCACTATCAAACGCCTGTTGGTATTGGAATTATGGAATGCGATCGATTAGCACAAGTTACCCTGTTTCTTACTAGTTTTCTTGGTCATGCAGCACTCGTTTTCAATCCTTGTCCTAATTAACACGCAACATATAACAACATATTGACTTGATCTTGATGTTGGAAGTTGGAACAGTTGATCACAGCCAAAGAATGCAAAAAAAAATAATAATAATAAAAAAATCTTGACACAAAAAACACAAAATGATCAGTAAGATGCTTTTCTCCCTTCCCCTCTGACATAAGTCGATCTAGCTGAATGCGTTATGTAATTAAAACTTTTTTCTTTTAATATATTGAAGTGTACTTCTTTTACGTGTTCATAAAAAAAAAATCAGTAAGATGCGTAATTGCAGATGCTTACAGCGTCGAGGCCGACCCATCTGTGTACGAGGATGAGCAACGCGAGGAAGACGACGCCGACCATGACGGAACCGACGCCCTTCATCCTCATCACCGACGACGGCCACCGCCGCCGTCCGGCCGGAGCGCCGCCCATGTCGTCCTCCGCCGGCAGCGGCGGCGGCGTCGTCAGCGCCGCCCTCTCCTCGTTGCCGGCGGCGTCCCGCCTGAAGAAGCTGGAGCTGCTTCTGCTCATCGGCTCATGCGTCATGCATGTGCACGGTGCAACTGCTCTGAAGTCTGAAGTGAAACGAAACTAGCGAAAAAATTAGGAGAAGCTAAGAGAGGAGGAGATAACACGTAGCTGCAGAGTTTGCAGAGACGATGCAACTTTAATTTCGATCGGAATTAATCTGCAAATAAATCAAGGCGATCAACCAGCTCACGGAATCATTTATACGGGTTGTGCTGATTAAGCTCGTAGTAGTACACAGTTACAATTAAGTCTCGAGTCAACGTGGACAACAGGGCAAGTCGAGGGAGACAATTTTACGAGGAATTAATATCCTATAAATGGTTATGAATAAGATACCAAGAAGTTTAGCAATGTAAAAAAAAAAGATGACTATTCATCTTTTTCTGAGTGTTTTTAACTATTATTATTATTATTATTTAAGATTTTTCTTTCTTTTATTACATGAAAATCACACACCACAAGCTACACATGTACATCGCATTCACACATACTCACTCCGTCCCAAAATATAAGTATTTTAGCATAGTGTCAAATCAAACATTTTTAATTTTAACTATTAATATAAAAAATAAAAAAGATCAATCATGTAAAATTAATGTTACTAGATTTATCATTAAGCAAACTATCATAATATGTAACTCTGTTTATTTAAAATATTTTAGTTTTACAGATATTGTTGATCAAAATAACATCTCGAAGACTATGTCGAAATACAAAAAAGCTTATATTTTGAGACGGATGAAGTATACCATTTCACTCTTTAATGGATGTTCAAAGAAACATGTACCAGTGGTAACATTTTAGCCTCAATTAATGAAGTTTTATTGAAAGCATATTTACATATGCACGATATTTGTGGGTTTCATAATTTGAGTCCTGGTGAATAAAGTTGTACCCATATAGATCTACCACCAAATCGTCGGTGCTTATCCATTTCCTTCTCTTGATTCGCAGCACAATTACAAAGTTGAGACTTAATTCAGACGTAACATGTTGTCAATACCATCTGGATTTAATTAATTTATTAATTATTGGGTTGGCAAGTTTTTCCCGTAGTGTAAGGACAAGTTGTACCAAAAAAATTGGGAGAAGAGGAAAGTATGGAGGAGAATTAATTCCGTTGCATCGAAGAAACATCATGTCGATTGCATGCACGGTTCCATAACACGCCCGGTCTTCCAAGCACGGGATCAATTTTTGACTTGCGAGTTTATAAGCTAGTTTGTGCTGCTTCACTCCAGCCTAATAATCAATTAATTATCCATCATGCTCCACACATTTTGATAGACTAATATCACAATTATGAAACGGTTGTGTGCATGTGCCATCCTTTTAGAGCAAGTTTAATAGTATAGCCAATTACTAGCTCTAAATCATCTATAGCCAATATAATAACCAATTCATACAATAATTGCTCACTGTACTATTAATATCTGGTCATACCTATCATACACACCGTATGTCTTGGAATCCGTGCTACAGCTGGCTACAGATCTGTAGCCTGTTGCTCTTCTTTATCTTCTTTTATCTCTTTAAAATATGTTTATAACTGGCTTATAGCCTGCTATTGTACCTGCTGTTATACAGCTGCTGCAGTTTACTTGTCCAGCTTGGGGCAAGAACGCTTGGCTCCAAGAAACAACCTATGATGTGCAGTATAACAGCATCCAATTGCTAAATCTTTATATGTAGTTGGCGAAAATTTGCATGTAGTTTTTTTCCTCAAACCTTTATGAATAGGGTTACAGACATTTACGAATCAACTTATGAGGGTAGAGCTGAATTGGAACTCAAAAGAAAAAAAAAAGATATCTGAACTTCTGCCGTGTCCCTTTTTTGGGTAAATTTGAGGGTGAATAGTCAGTTTAGTCCTTTAACTTTTACTCAAAGGTCGAATTAGCCCTTAATGCTTTATAGTGTCCAAATAAGTCCCTAAAGATTATCATGCGGCTTAATATAGTCCTTGGACCCACTTAAAATACCATGTGGACATGCCACATCATTCATGCATGTAAAGTTCACATTTAAATGTCCATTTTAACCTTACATTTTTTATAAAAAAACAAAGGGAAAAACAAGAAGAAGCAATCATAAAACAAAGGAAAATGCCAAAAAAAAAGTTTGTTACCAATGCTACATCTTTTTGCCAATGGCCAAAACCTTTTTTTTTTGTTTTTTCCAATAGTTTTTCTTTATTTCCTATGAAAACGTAAGGGTAGAATGGATATTTAAATAGTATTGCATTTGCATGTATAGATGATATGGCATGTACACATGGTATTTTTAGAGGGTCCAAGGACTATATTAAATCACACATTGAACTTTAGGGACTTGTTTGGACAATACAAAATGTCAAGGACTAAATTGATCTCTAAGCGAAAGTTCAAGGATCATGTTGGTTATTCACCCTAAATTTGAAGGTTAATATCTTTGTGGTGTGTAATTGAATTCCTACACAAATCCAATTGATGTTAAATATACTGTTAATAATCCTACACAAGCCCTCTGAATATGTGTGAGTGGATAAGTTCTAGTGCAAAGTTAAGTAGTACCGTAAAAGTTTTGTTATCTTTAGGCTGGTATTTCAGTTAGTTATTTTGTTTTCCATCAAACTGTGTCAATATAATTCACAATTGTTTTAAACTACAGCTTTGTAATAATTTCTGTACCTTCAAAGAAGCAAAGGTCGAAATGAATTTCATTATTAAAAAATATATATACTTTCTGACACACATATATACACACATCACTGTCCACAAATTTTGTTTTGTAAATTTTGGCTAGGAGATCTGGCATTCCACCGATCACCAACAAAGAAGCAATCGGTTCCTGCAACATTTGACTGTCTATACAAGTGTTTCTTCAATGTAATACTTTCTGCATTGTTCAGTTTGAAGAAAAACACTGAACAACCAGAAGTTCAGAACTCCAGACCGCTGTTCATCTGAATAGAGAACCAGGGCCGGCCAAAGCTATGGAGGGGAGCGTCAACTCTCAACACTAACCCTGAACTTGCTGCACTCCCGTTCAACTTTGATCTCCCAATCTGCAATACACAAAAAGGCATTATCACAGAGGTTAAAACTTACATGATTTTTTTTTGCTAGGACAATAAGTTTCATTTGCAGTTAAGGGCTATGTAGAACAAACTGGACACACCGATATAGACGCATAGGCAGAAGGAGAAGCAGTGTGAGAGTAGCCACAAACAACACCAGCATTCTCATTCACCGAATGGATCAACTCCATGGACAAACCCGGACGGCTTCCACCGAAAGTAGGGCATATGCTGTTTGTCAGAACGAAATGACAGTCAGTTTTGGATGCCAATTTCAGCTAAATTTTGATGCTATATTAGAATTCGCAATCACATCTGATTTATGGATCATTGGTGAACAGTGTGAATGAGAAAGAACAGAGGTGTTCAAGACATTTTGCCTGAATTGCAGGGCTGGTTGCAACATAAGGCCACATCTCTTCCATGACAGTGTTTGGATAGTCCCCAGTGAGAAAGACTTATCTGGCCACTGCACCATTGGAGTGATGCTTCCTCCACTCCTGTTCTGGAAGAAACTGATCACATTGTAAGTAGTACTAATCGCACAATGCGATGCAGCAATGAAGCTTCAGAATTCAGATGCAGCAAATTCAGATATGGTTTGGAGTTCATTTGGCAGCTGACCTTGAATGAGTAACTAAACTTCTTCTCTCCTGGGAATTTCGCATGGGCTTGAAAGATCCCGCGACATAGAGGAAGAAATGCGCGAGTAGTGAACCCATCGCCGGCTACATATCTTAGTTGTCCATTTGGAAATTGCATGTCCATGAATGACTGCTTGATTTGGAAGATCAAGGTAAGACAGGCGAAATATAAATAAAAGAACTAGCTATTAAGTTTGATATTTTTCAGGAATTGTGAAATAAGAAGTATTCCTAATACAAATGTTCAGTTAACCACATGTCCACATTGTCTGCAACTAAAATACAGAAATAAACAGCACAATTAAGCTCAATGTGCTGGATGAGAAGTAGCATATCCAATTGACAGTCCTCTCATTCTAGCATGAGCTATGAGCTGAAAGAAGAAATTGTAGAGAAAATGCCAAAACTTACACAAGTAAAAGGATTTAGGCAAATCATTGACATGAAGAACCATCTTCTGTGAGCTGACCAGTAAGCAGGACAGACTGAATGCACACCATTCTGTGCAGAAATAGCATAATCATTTAGCAATACATTGGCACAAAATGTTGTGCACATAAAAATCGAAGGATCAAGCAATACATTTAGCAGAAATAGCATAATCATTTAGCAATACATTTAGCAATTGCATTAGCACAAAATATATGCAATTGCATTGCTCATTACCTTGCGCTCGAAGCCGTACCAGATGAGATGGCGCTTGGACAGGTGCACCGGGAACAGCAGCGTGGTGTCGCGCACGAACAGCACCGGGCCGAGCTGCACCATGAACAGCGGCGGCGCGGCCGCGGCGGCGCTGCTGTGCGACGCCTCGGCGCGCCACAGGTCCCCCCTCGCCACCACCGAGCTCTCCACGTCGCTCGTCCGGCTGTCGTACGTCGCCGACAGGTTCATGCTCCCCTGCACCCAAGAACGCCTCCTTTAGCCGCCGAGGATTCCCATGGCGAGAGCGATCGAGCACGCACGCGCGCGCGCGCGGGGTTTAGGTTCTTGCCTGCGACCGCGCGAACCGGCCGGAGACGCCGACCGGATCGTGCCCGGCGACGCCGCCGCCGCCGCTGTCCTTGCTGACCCGCGCATCAACGGCGGCGGCGGCGGCGGCGATCCTGGAACCCCCGTTCCTGCGGTGCCGCTGCGCCAAGGCGACGTCGAGGCCTTCGTCGATGCGCAGGCGTCGGAACACGTCGCCCACAGCGCGTCCGAGGCGGCCGCCGGCGTCGAGCACCGCCGCGGCCACGCCGGAGAGCTGCTCCTTCTGCGGCGGCTGCGGGAGCGGTATGAACGCGGCGAGGCGGCGCGCGAGGTCATCGGCGGCGGCGGCCATGGGCGGTGGATGGGATCGAGCGGCGGTGAGGTTTGGGGGGTGGGAAGTTGGCCGCCGCCCGCCGGTGGATAAGGGACTCGTGGCGGGAAGAAGCTGGAGAAGAGTGTGTGTGTGTAGTGGAGAGGAGTGGGAGACTGGGAGCCTCGCGTGGACCCGGTGTATGGACCGGCGGTGCGGTTGTTGCGCGGCGCGTGTGAGGTGGTTCTGTGGACGCGGTCCATGGGAGGAAATGGTGAGCGAGCAACCAACCTTGTTCAAAAAGCCGTTGGAGAGTTGAGGTAGGGGTTGTTATGTTGGGCTTTCTCCTGGGCCGGCCCAAATTCAGTTCAGGCCTCCTCCATAACCCTCCTACACCCCCGGCATATAACCCGTCCCATTTGCTTAATTAACCTATCCCTATGTGGTTAATTAGCCTTGATTAACTTCAATCCAGCTACCCAATCAATACAATCAGTAGGCCTGCCTGCCTCATGGAGAGCTATCTGCAGTTCTCTCAACAAAAACTTTTGAAATTCCTCGACTTGGTTATAATTAGTACCAGAACGTACGTTATCTGTATGATACCAAAACGTTATCTGTTTAAAAACAGAACTAATATGCCAATACATCGTTAAAAAGAAAGAAGGTACTACTACACTTCATTAAAATTTAAGTATCTAATAATTATGTTTATACATCACTCAGTGGCTAATATTTTACGTTATAATTTACCATCGTATACAGAATCAAATAGTGAACCTCAATCTTTATAGTATATTTTAACCAGGGGCAAAGTTAGGATTTGAGATTAGGGGGGTGTAGGGTGAAGATAAACCATGAGACCGAATAACTAGTCCTTTAAAAATAGCCACCGTCAATAACAAGCAATGCGTAAACTAGTCCTTTAAGAAAAACTTGAATTTTAGCTCTTTAATAATATCATTGGAAATTTAAAACTAGTCTTTATTGCTAAATTCTTTTAATGTAAACTATTAAATAATCTCACAAATAAGTATCATCTATTTTACTTTGAAAAAGATGAGAAATCACAAACTAATTTTGTAGATCATGTTTCTTGCTAATATTTTTAGACTTGCTAACTAACTAAACTGATAATACTTTCAAGCTACACAAAATAAACTAGATAAATACTTATCTTAGCTAACTTAATATAGAGTAAAAACATGGGGGTGTAGTGGTGTTAGTATTTGGATAGGGGGGTGTTGGCACCCTTCGGCACCCCCTTACCTTCGCCACTGATTTTAGCTATCCTCTTTGATTTTAAATCTCTAGTATATTAGTTAATACCTGCAATATAGATAATTTTTTTTTTCATTTTGCCACGATTTTGTTATTGTCTGATTGCTTACCTATTTATTTGGACTTTTAATTCGGATGATATTATCACCAATACCACTTATCATCCATATGTTTAGTACTCATACGGCTAATTCGAAATGAAATAATTCTTTTTATTATCATCATATGCTTTTTTACGTTGATACGATATATTAGTTGTAGTAGTGAAAAGGCATATAACCTAGCGGTTGGCTGGTTGTAGGGATCTGAGTAGCACCCAAGGTCCCGAGTTTAAATTCAAATCCCCGTAGGAGCGAATTTTAAATGGATTATTTGAGAGCTAAGTTCCTAATTTTAAAAAATTGAATATATCCAGCTGGATATAGAGGCCGGGTAAAAAATACCCTTCTAAAAAAAATGGCTCCAGTAAACCTTGGCATTTGCATATCTTTTTACGGCACTTTTTTTTATCGTATTTACTTGTCAAGTTGTCCCCCGTCATAATAAGATTCTGGCTTCAGCACTGAATGTGGTAGCTCTTTTCTTGACAATATATAATATATCAAATAAAACAATCCAAATCCAAAACACAAACCTCTGTTCTTTTCAAGCAAAGTCATGGCCGACTCAGGCTTACCCATACACGTCTCACCATCGGAGTGTCAAACAATCAAGCGACGTTAAGCTATAGCTTTGCATGACTCGATCTACCATTAATGGGTCCTAATTAAGCCTATGTCGTCTTCAATTAGAGCAGGTATAATAGCGAAATATAAGTCAGCTATAAACACATATTAAGAAGATAAAAGAGGAGAGAGAAGATCAACGGGCTATATATTTATAGCCAGTTGCAGCATAGACTACAAGACACAATATGTGTATGACAGGCGAGACCATATATTAATAGTGTAGTATATATTTATAGGCTATGTTTAAGTTAACTATAAGTGATTTGAAGTTAATAGTTTTCTATACCATTAAACGCTCTTACGCGATGTTTGCCTCTCTCTCTAATTAACCTACCGAGTACCAACTCGCTGGAGCTGAGTCATCATCCTGGCCTATAGCTTGTGCGCCATGTCAGCCTCAGGAAAATTAGCATATAATATTTCATCCTAGGTGACAAAACTATAGGCAGTTTTTGGATCATATCATCACAAACACACAAAAAAACATAATAATCTTGGAAAAAGGTTCAAAACATTACTAATTAAAGTCAATCAATAAAAACACGAATATTAATTAATTTGAAGTTTGTAACAGTGTATGAACAAGCAATGCATGCATGTGGCTTAATTTGTACTAAATGATTTTATAACAAGCATATATACAAATTTTGTTGCCCAAGCAAACACTCAAAGAGTCAGACAGTTTACAGTTAATTATACTTAGAATAGGCGATAGAATTCCAGAGTGATACGTTGGAGCAGCTGCACATATTACACATATATTTCAGCACATAAAACAAGTTGAGAATTTCGCGTGCACACTTCATTATTATACAGCATGTGTATGCATGCAATTTCTGGTTGATGCCGAAAATAACAACACTTAACAATCTTAATCCAGCTCTCTTCGATGATATCCACTTGCCAATTGCCAAATTGCCTTCCACGCGTGCATCTGATTGGGATCACATCAAAGATGAGTAGGTTTTCAGTGGCTTATGGTTGAACTCTGCAAAGTTGGTGTAATTTAATTAAATTAATGAACATGCCAGCTTGTCGGCAATTGCCAATTGCGTGGATGTCCATATGAGATGACACCTTCCCTAGCATTTTTAATCCGATGAAACTTTTAGAATTGCAGTTCCATTTTTACAAGAAGTTTGTAAGTTAAATTACTGTGGTTTAAACTTTTATGTTTTATTTGAAATCGGAACAATATTGTCTATCCTAACATCCAAGTCCAGAAAATCTTGGTTTCTGAACTGTACCAAACAAAACCAAAATATCTATAATCAAACAAAATTTATCTAATGATAATTTTTAGACTTCCAGAACGACCATAGTTACTTCTGATGTTAGCAAAAGTACTGGGTGGTACAATTTCAGTTTTGGACTGATTAGTGTCAATTTGATCATTTGTATAAGGTTTAATTTACTGACTTTGAGAAACGGATAAGAAACCAGGAAAGAAGAGTGTGAAGATGCTAGGGATGCTTAAGAAAGTAAAACGCGCAACACATTAATTATTAGCTCTTTAATTTGTCGTTTATCCATGTAACCATCAATCTACAGATCTACTCCATGTCAAAGTCAGAACAAGGACAGCGGTGGAGCCAGGGACGAGTAGGAAGTTATGAATCGTGTTCAGATCTTTTCAAGCTGAAATTCTGAATAGTGAATAGTACCTGCCTGATGATGAAGTTTTCATTCATTTCTGTCACAAAATATTTATGATTCATGAGATGAGATCACGCATGGACAGCAAATAATTAGCTCTGCAAGGCACAGAGTGAAACACATCGACAATAAGTATTAACTTCTGCAAGTGAAGAAGTGCAGTGGTCACTCTGCTGTCTGTCCGAGGATTTTGTTCAGATTTGTAACAGAGATGGCTGATGTCTGAACAATCAGGTAAGAATCCAGACATTCAGTGACAGAATTGAGTCGAACTCATTTCAGATTACAAAACAACCAAAAAGATTTGGAGGAGGCAACAGAGTTCGAAAGAGAAGCAACAGTTTGCCTGAAAGAAAATGGTGCCTTCCATGCATGAGCAATCTCTGAATATTTTGATTCTGAAGAACTGTATCATATCGGCTGGATCGGGTAGATGTCTGAACTGTATCTGCATGAACAATCTCCAATGAGGAAAGCAGTTGTTGGCTTTCCAGCCCGTGTACGTCGATCAGAGCAAACGAGGCGTTTCCTTGGAAGGAAAGCCTTCGTAGCTGCAAGGCAACAACTACACAGGCTCAGGCTGCTGCTGTTCTTGATCCATTTCTTTGGCGTCTCAGATTTCTTTAATACCATAAGTTTCATTATTTTGGACGTCATCATGAGCTAATAATGCATGTTTGGTACTCAGATTATGTAAATCCGTAACTTGGCTTGATCTAACAATGTTAAGCTCTGTTTGTAGTCTGAATATTTCACCTATCTAGCCGAATTCAGAAGTCAAAAGTTGTCGGGTTTTTTTTCCGTCAGCTATAAAAATCCATAGGCATATTCGTCCTCGTCCGTATTATAAATTTCTATTCGAGATCTTCTTGACAGAAAGGAAAAAAAGAGAGCAATTTATGACACACGGTAATGCAAACAAAAGAAGAAGACGCGGAGTTACCAGTTTCAGGCGCTAAACGTTGCTTCAAGGGAGTAGACACGCGTCTAATTAACCCTGCTACGTACTACCTCGATCACAAGCCACCCACACAAATATCACCACCATTAAAAAGTACGCACCATTCTTTTATAATTTCATAAATTTTATACGAATACTTCAACCAAATTATCACAAAACTATAAATATGTATCACAAAACTACAGATTTAGCATCAAATTTATCGTAAAACTACATATGTCAGATCTAAGGTACCATATCACAAAACTACAAATTTTACAAATTTAGTGATGATGGTATCAAAGAACTATAATTTTAGAATTTATATCCATAGCACTGTTGAGATTACAAAAGTTATAGTTCTTTTTAATAAAACTGATGTTAAATTTTTCATTTTCTTATATGATACCTTAAATTTGTAGTTTTGTAAAAAAAATATAGAGTAAATTTCACAACACTACAGGTATGTTGCACAATTTATCAAAAAGACTACAGATTTAAGAGTTTATTTCATAAAACTAAATATTTGGTGTCTCCGTTTATCATAAAACTACAGGTACTTTGAACAATCTATCACAAAACTACAGATTTAAGAACTTATTTCATAAAACTATAGATTTATTGTATTCGTTTATTACAGAACTACTCATTTATTGTCTTCATCTATCACAAAACTACATATTTAGTGTCTCCATTATCACAAAACTACATAAAACCATGTAGTTTTGTAATAAATGAAGATATTAAATTTGTAGTTTTGTAAAACAGGTTCTTAAATCTATAGTTTTGTGATATATTATGTAAAGTACCTGTAGTTTTATGATAAACGGAAACACTAAATCTGTAGTTTTGTTAAACAAGTTCTTAAATCTGTAGTTTTGTGATAGACCGTGTAAAGTATACGTAGTTTTATGATACACATTATTAAATTTGTATATGATAGATTGATTAAAATATATGTAGTTTTATAAAATTTACTTTTTTATAATCTAACCCTGGCAGGCATAAAGCACACGGGGTGTAGATAACTATAACCCATTCAATTATTACATGCATCAGTCACTTCATCTTGAAAGCTTAAGCAAATTAAAAAGAATAGGTAACCTAATACACTTACGGTTCTAACATGTGTACCATGATGTTTGAAATGAGCGAAAATAAAGAAAAAGTTAAGATACGGTCAAAAAAATCATTAGCGCATGATTAAAAGTGACTTTTAATTATTATAAACCTGAAAATTAGGTTTAATCGATATTTTAAAGCAATTTTTATATAGAAAGGTTTCTACGAAACATACCGTTTTAGCAGTTTAAAAAATATGCTAACAGAAATAAAAAAAATTATATATCTTAATTAGAAAAGAATCTACTATATCTTAATCTAACGGATTGTTTTTATTTCTGTTGATTGTTGTCTCCGTGTGTCTTGCTCTGTTCGATGCGCTTGCTGGTTTGGATTGTTCTCGCATGTCAGGTAGCTCTAGGTAGCTTAGGTTAGCTGATGGATTAGCTGAGATGAGCTGACAACTGCTGCTGCGATGCTCTCTCTGTTAATTGCCCTTGTCCCTACGCCTCCCTCCGTTCGTTCCCGCGCATATCTGTATAAAAGCCTACCTAATTCCCGCCAAATCTTCCCCCGCTCGATCTCATCGATCTCCACCACCTCACCTGCAAGTAAGCAACCCACCCACCCACACACACACACACTCGTACGGCGCTGTACTGTACGGTACGGATCGGGCTAGGAGATCGAGCAGCAATGGCGCCTCTGTACTGCGGCGGCAGGGTGGCGGCGGCGGCGGTGCTCCTGGCGCTCCTCGTGGCGGTCGTGGCGCCGCCGGCGACGACGTGCGCGGACGCGGCGCGGGTGCTGCTCGGCGGCGAGCTGGCGGCGGCGGCGGCGGCGACGCGAGTAGAGGAGCAGGATGTGAAGACGACGACGACGCAAGCAGCAGCAGCAGCTCCGCCGCCGCCGCCGTCGTTCGCGCGGTGGAGGACGGCCGCCGGCAATGCTGCGGCGGCGAGGTTCCTCGGCTCCGTCCCGAGCCCTGGGATCGGGCACTAGGTTTAGTAATTAGTTTACCAGTTTAATTAATTAGAGTTCGATCGATCTCCATTGATGATGATTTCGTTGCTCTCGAGAAACACTCGAGGTTTTCCGGCTAGCTCTACAGTGGTGGTGCACAGTAACCCCCAAATCCAAAATTTCTTACTTAAGAACACGAAAATGTGTAGTGCTGCATTGATTTTTTCTAAGGCTTTCAATGGTAGTGCACATCTTAGCTCTACAAAATAATGGGCTAGTTGGTCTGGGTTCGAAATCTCGTCCGTTCTATTTATTCGATATTAGGTCTTTCCTTAATATTCGTGTTTCTTTTTTTTATATATTTCGTTGCTTGATTCGATCCGGTTAATTGATTTTCTAGTTGCTCTCCCGTGTTGTTGGCTTGTTGCTTTTAATATTTTTCCTTTTTTTAATTACTAGTTCTTCCATTTCGCGCTTGATCGATCGATCGGGTCGGGTGAGTGAGTGATTGGAGGTTGAGTACGCTAGGAAGGCAAGTTTTTTGTAGGCGCGTCGAACGCTAGCTGCAACTTGTTGCGTGTGGTGGTCGCGTGCTCGTGTTGTTTTCTTCTGCTTGTAGTTTGTAGCTAGGCTTGTACTACATGTATATAGCGATCAATTCCATTCATTTATTTTACGTTGTTTTCGTTTCTCTATCTGTACATATGACATGTTGGATCATATTATTGCTGTTATGTTCGTGGATGGATGGTTGGAAGATGTTAAACATATCGGACAAGTTCTTCGCTTATTTATGATACGTCGGTGTTATAGTTAGCACACGCGGTTTTACGCGCGTGTGGTGGTTGATTGTCACATTTATTACTGTGTCACTCTAGTTGGTTTAGGCTGATCATAAGCCGTACAAAAAAGCTAAGGAGGCAACACCAAATCATTTTGTGATATGACTTGTATTTCTACCAGCCAAAACATTCAAAAATGCCTACAATAATTCAAAATTAAGTTTAAAGATTTGAAATTTGGCAACAACTTATAAGCCAGAAAGCAAAGAATAAGGGCTCTCGATGTCATAACTATCATAGATGGTCTAAAAACAAAAACATTTGTTATATCTCAAGCAAACAGGGATATAAAAAAACTGTCTATGACAGTGTAAAAGGGACATTGGGATAATAGACAAAACACACATGCTATCTTATCTATAATATTCTAGTAAAATGCTTCCACTTTCTTTGTTTTTAACAAATTTGAATTTCACGTTCATCTCGAATACTCCCTCCGTCCCAAAATAAGTGCAACCGTGGATATCCATGCCTAACGTTTGACCGTCCGTCTTATTTGAAAAATTTATGAAAAATTTAAAAATATTTAGTCACACATAAAGTAGTATTCATGTTTTATCATCTAATAGCAATAAAAATACTAATCATAAAAAAATTTTAAATAAGACGAATGATCAAACATTAAACGTGAATAGTGCAAAACTGTACTTATTTTAGGACGGAGGGAGTAGAATAGAATCTATGGTTTTCGTCCTACTCATGTCCCCTTCTCTCCAGACGCAGACCACTTTGGCCGTGACTAGGAGCATTAATTCTTCCACCCAAATTCTAGGCTGATATATAAGTGTATGACGTTGATACGGAAATCCTTATTGAGAAGTCCAATTGGCCTCACGGAGTAATGGGAAAAGCATAAAACCATTGTTTAGTGTCTCAAATTGACATCCATATATATATAGTTTCATGGTTTTCTGTGTTCATGACTTTTAGTCAAGTGGGATCATGCAATGATCCTGACATGTTTTTCTGGAATAGTTAGGATCAAATTGGTCGAATAGTGCATATAGGATTGTAAAAGACTACAAAATTTAAATTGAGATTTTGATTACTTTGGTGCTACATGCATAAATTTTGTTTGTTATGAGTGACCTTTTGTTAAATTCAACATCATACACTTTTTGACAAGTTGCGCCAGAATCAATACTCCCAATGTTATAGAATGTAAGTCACTATATATAGGCCTTTAACAGAAAGGTAAAACAACTTACATCCTGTAACAGAGAGAGATTATATTTAATTTCGCCCCACTGTCAAACAGTTGGTGTACAAATTAAATACCTCAGTACATTAGCATGATTTGATAGGTTTATTTGAATTAAGGACAATTGAGTTGATTGAACTCGTGCTATAAGACATGATCAATTTGCCATGTCTAACTCTCTATCTACCACTAGCATTGCCGACTTAGTAGTAGTTTTCAAAGCATGCTTAGGTATATTTCACTGTGGCTAGCATAAGATTGGGCCACTTGACTATATATATCTATGGATATATTTGGACACCGTTCAAGTTAAAGTGGTTCTATGCTCCATCAAACTTGTTCAAGTAGCATCTGATGCCGACTCATTAAATTTAGTCACTTCTACTGTGGCACCTGCCTTTACCGACAGCATTTCCGATCAACTACCTCTACTGTCCAAATGCAGAAGAACAACTATTTCTGGCAACGAATACCAAATCAAATCTGTTAGTAACTAGAAAAAGCTAGTATATATATTTTACGTTCATTACTGTCAGAATGGAGGAGGTACTACATGATAAGCCGAGAATAAATAAATAAATAAAGAAGATTTGAAGGGAGAGGCGTCCCTCCAAAAAAACATCTTTTTAAAAATAAATTGTAAGTATGTTAGTAATCGAACACATGATCTCGGGGTAGATACCACAAATTTTTTATCACTGTACTATCAAGCTCATCTCGATAAGACGAGAATGATAAGAAATTTATTTGTAAGAATGATTAGAAATGTTTCACGTCTCCGATCTCTGCCCATTCCGTGGACAGACAAAATAAATTGTGATTGGTTGGTTTTATACATGAAAAAACAAAGCACATTCTGTCGAAAATTATGTATGTGAAGGTACAGTCATAGTCAGGCCGAAACGCAATCTTGAAGACAAAGAAACAAAAGAAATGGTAGTACAGCGTGAGACTGATAGAAAATGGAGTATGTAACCAAAAGTCACATGACATTGAATAAAAGATGCGATATTTTGCTAGCTACAGTGACGACAGAGACGAGCACGAAAGGCTTCAACAGCAGTGGACACTGTCCCTAAAATGTGGGCCTAACACGTTCTCAAGTAATATACCCTCTCCAAAATAATTGGAGCACTAATAATCACTTTACTGTTTTGTAAATTTGATCTCGGTTAAGGCCAAACAAAACAATGCAAATATTTTAGACACTTGCCTAAATATTGCATCATCTGCGACTCACATACACTGTTTTTTTCAGGGAGGGTCACATACCCTGGTTAGTTTTATTCTAGACGTCATTTGGAATCGGGATTTTCTAACAAAATTGTAGAGATTTAATTAATTTATATAAAAATTTGATGAAATACATGCGTTTCAAAACAAACTATGGTTTTGTTGATTCCAACAACCATGATTTTGTTGGTTCCAACAGTAGTCGTATGTTTGAACCTCAATTATCTCTTCTACTACTACTATAAAGTGGGAGTCGTCATCCTCCACCTCTACATAAAATTTTCTTTCCTCCTGTAAAAACCATCCACACTAAAACCTATTTTATAAGGAAAAAAACTAACAACCCATAGGGCCCTATCCTCCCACTAAATTGAATAAAAAAGGCCGTTGCAACGCAGGAGCCATTGTAGTAGGAGGAAAGAACCACAGTCAACAAGTCTGGCATGGCCCATTACTTCGCTAACAAGTCCAAGATGTGCGTTAGCCAATTATCCGTTTCTATCTGATGGGTCATATTGGTGGCCTTGATAATATTTCCAATCTCCATTCGATCCCACAACTTCCCGAGGTGGTCGACTTGATATCTTTGCATATGGTCTTCGTGCGTAAATTGTCGCTCCCTACTCTCTATCCTCTTCTCCGGTTCCTCCAAGGGAAAATTTAACTATTTGCCACTTTAGAAAGCGTCCACTCTTCAAATACCACCCTTTAAGATTGTTCCAACGCTTTTGCTATTGCATGAACATGCCAGCATAAAATTGCATTAAATGTCTATTTTGTCCCTAGCCCTTGTCTGTCTTTATTTGCACAGTGACGGCAAAGGCGAGCCGCATACCATCGGCACTCCTCCGCTTCTCTGGTATAGTATTATTTTATAGGCCTTGGACCGAAAAGTTGATATGGCGTGCCAGAGAGGACCTTAAGAGGGCCTAAATGGCTCCATTATAGTTTTGAAGTAGGTAATAGTGGGTCTCAGATAGGCATATATGACCACTATATTCCTTAAAGGAAAAAAATCCAGTTTACCTTTCTCATCTAAGATTTGAGTTTCAATCACATTTCTCAACCGCCAAATCAGGTATAATGTATCCTCTATTTCCCAAAACCACTTTCTAGGACTACTATTTGCACTAGTATTCTGGTAACCCTTTTGAAAAATAGAGGATACATACTACCTGGCTTTGCCATTGAGGGACGCGATTGAAATTAACCCGAATCTTTTATGAGGTACTACCTCCGTTTTTTAATAGATGACGCCGTTGACTTTTTCTCAAATGTTTGACCATTCGTCTTATTCAAAAAATTTACGTAATTATAATTTATTTTGTTATGAGTTGTTTTATCACTCATAGTACTTTAAGTGTGATTTATATCTTATACATTTACATAAAATTTTTAAATAAGACGAATGGTCAAACATGTGAGAAAAAGTCAATGGCGTCATCTATTAAAAAAACGGAGGGAGTACTCATTAGAATCACGGGCCTTAAATGTGCCATGATATCTCCATTATGGGCCTATGTTGGGCCGTATTTTCTCTTTCGTGAGCCTTGAATGGGCCATAGTTATTCTCTTTCAGAATAAGTTCACCAGAGGTCCCTCAACTTAACAGCGAGATTTTTTGAGGTCCCTTAACCACAAAACCAGAAATGTATACCCCTAAACTCACACAAACCGTGCACTCAAGGTCCTATGGCAGTATATATGAGTGGTTTCGCTGACGCGGCATCCTAGTCAGCAAAAAAAAAATTAAAAAAGTATGTGGGGCCCATATGTCAGTTGCACATTCCTTCTCTTATATTTTCTATGTTCTCTCTTCTTTTCTTCTTCAGTGAGGGAGGCCGGCAATGGGCGGCGGCGAGCCTGCGCGGCAGCGGAGCGGCGCCAGGATGCGGGCCAGAGCGACGATGGGCGGCAGCGGGCGAGCGGAAGAGCGTGACGGCGGCGGGCGCCCTTGCCGGACTTCATGCGGAGGAGGTGCGGGCCCGCCGCCGCCCATCACCGCTCCGCCGCTGTGACTGTACAACGAACGGCTTAGTAGTAGCTAGCCAGCTAGCCAGACACGGCGGGAGCAGCGTGGGTGGTGAGGTCAGAGACGGTGGGGCGGCGGGGGATCACCGCAAAGAGGCCCGCCTCGTTGTCGGCGCACTGTGCCTCCGCCGGCGCCGACGAGGAGGAGGACGACCTGTCCCTGCTGCTGCGTTGCAGCGTGCGGTGGCGGCGCTTGACGGCGGCGAGCGCGGAGTCCATGTCCATCTTGTCCTGCCTGCAGTCGTCGCAGCAGAACGCCACGTTCCCCCTGCACAAACAACACATATGCAATCAAATCAATGAATCACTGAATAATCGAAGAATCAATCAAGCAAATATATATGCACGAGATTCGACGAGAGAAAATTAATTAAGATCGTGGTACGTACTTGTACATGAAGATGTGGCGGTTGAAGTGATGTCCCGCTTGCAGAGGAAGCAGGCGTCGAGGTAGTGGTA